GTTATCATAGATATATATTCGATAGGTATTCGCTACTTCCATCTTTTATATTACACCACAAGATTTGTACATTTTCTGAAAACATTTAAGACAGCTAATGTAAGTCATCTGTTGAGAAACCATTAAATATTCAGTTTATTCTTAACAACATAGCATTAAATATTTAAATTGAATTATGATTAAAAAAACGCTTGCTTGGAACATGTGATGGAATTTGTATCATACCTACTGTCAACTGTCGAGTTAGCATTCTCGCTTGAAAAGTTTAATGAGTATATGTGCATATATTTTATGACAAAGATTCTACTGTCGTACCCCAGATCATTCTTTCGTGTTTCAACATAAACAGCTCATGGACGACGTTTGGCCTTTGTGAATTTTAGAAAATACTAGTAACCAGCTCTACATAACTATTATAAACGGTAGGGCATTGTGTTGAATTAAATACAATTGAGATGGAAATGCAACTGTGAGGATTCAAACCGCTAACACAAATACGTATGTCTAAATTCTTCCTCCGTTTTCCGACAGTAATCTGTTTTATACAATCTATGACGCTGATGCTATTCTTGAAAATGTTCACGATAACACTAATTAAAATTTTACAATGTCTGTATCGGCTATAAACAGGAATCATAGGAAGTCTTCGCTATTGATATTATGCGATATTCAACCTAACGCAGTACTTTATAAGATGTAATTCAGTTTAGTCAAATCTAGCAAGATAGAAGCACATCTGGATATACAGAGAGAATTTAATGTAAATATTTTCTCCTCTGTTATTACTTCACAACGGCGAATTTGCCTTATTTATCTACTTATATTCATAAGGTTTACAGCTGCTAGATTTTAACTGTATATGTACATATGTATGTATATATACCGTACTCATCTCTATAATAGGCAAAATGAAGCCAAAATGATACCGAACGGCTCACTATAGATCGGTAAAGAAAGGTCGACCACGAATGAAGCCGCACAAGAGACAATGTTCAATGTATTAAAGTAACGCTACAATTTCATCCAGTACTAACAAATCACTAATAAATAACATCTTTTTATAACGTTAAGTTTCTATTGTAAGTGTTGCTTATGGTATGCGAGACAAATTGATTAATTAAAAAAAATACTATAGAAAACTATAAATTAAATCAGATCAGCTAGCCGTTTCATTTGTTAAAACCGTTAGATAAGGAAAATATTTATTTATATAATGAGATTATAATATCATAGACAAGAGAATTTAAATCTTTTAACTTATACTTTTAGATGAGATGTTTGTCATGCGTACATTATTTAGTAAGCACGTTTTATTTTTAAATTTCACAAGTACATCTTATATCGTAATTTATAACATAACCAACAAGATTTTAAAACATGTTTCTTAAACCAAATATAATTTTAACAGTAGACAGGTAGGTAATATTACCAATAATCTTATTTTTTTTCCTTACGCTATTATTACGTAATAAATTTAATAAATCTCAATAACAATAAATATCTCTGAAATAGGAATGTACATAATAATATTAATTTATATGTTTAATAGTAGTAGATAAAAATTAATTAATACAATGTATTTTTTTTTGTTCATCAAGAACTCAAACGGTGCAATAGAAAAATAAATGTTATTATCCGTTTATAATATCAACAGTGTGTATATAATTTCAATATTGAATTGAACGATGATATTGCCACATACATTTTACGTACTTAATTGTTATTTTCAGACATTATTTGAAACCTTTACACAATTAAAAGTTATCTTGAGATTTTATCCAATTACGGTTATACGGTTTCTTTATAAATGGCACATTAGCTTGGCCCGGGAGCAATACAAAATATTACATACATCTTAATGCAACGTGTAATTGATTTTGTCTTATTCCAATAAAAGTAAGCGCACCGTTTTAATACAATAATGTAGTGTAAAAGTATTACAATAATAGTCTCTAAGATGTCTACAATAGCCATTTTAGCTACAATATTTATTCTAAAAGAGTTACAGCCTTACTACTGTTATAAGTGGCAAAAAAGTAAAGAATAGAGATTCTGTTCTTGAAAAGATACCTTAAATTGCACAGATATATGAAGAAGATACTTAACAATAATATTCAAATTAATACACTAAAGTTAGGTTTCACCAGTACCTACACTGTTTGACGGTACTTAATTAATCAATTCTAAAACAACGTATGTATAATAATATCACGCAGACACCATATTGCACCCTCTGATTATTTCAGTAACATTATATTTTTTAAATAAATAAAAAATATTGTACCTACTTAGATATTCGAGACTGATTTTAAAACTACTTTAATATATTGTTCGTGTATAGACACGTCTCTATTAGCAAGTTAGGTGTATAACCTCTTGTTACCAAATATAAATATATATATATACATTCAGTCAAAAAAGTATCGGGAATGGATGATTTGTTTATGGTTCCAAATTCAAATTTTAGTTTTTTTTTTGTTGTTGTTAGATTGGCACAACTGTTTTCCATTTTAGCGCAGAGTTTGAGATGCATCTGTTATTTATATTAAATACAGTGCTTTTTTTAGTTATATCATATCTAGACACTAGATATGATATAACTAAAAAAAGCACTGTATATGTATTGCGAATGTCATAATGGACAAAAACATCGAACAAAGAGTTTGTCTTAAATTTTTACATCGCCAATGGAATTTTGTGTTCGGAGTCACTGAAAATGTTACAGAAGGCTTACGGTGAATCGACTTTATCAAAATCACGTTTTTATGAGCGGTACAAAGCGTTCAAAAGCGGTCGAGATGTGATGGAAGATTTGCCTCGCTTTGGTAGGCCATCAACGTCTGCAACTGAAGTTAACATCGCAAAAGTGAAGGAAATAGTGACTGAAAATTCTCATTCAACTTTGAGAAGGAAAGCTGTCGAACTTTCTGTATCTCACGAGTCGATCCGTACCATTTTAACGAATCATTTGGCTAGTCCCAAAAGACCTGAATTTTCTCCAAAAACTCATTCATTCTAGAACGAGTCAATTCCGACCCAACATTCATGAAACGCATTGTTACTGGTGACGAGACGTGGGTTTACGAGTTTGACCAGCAAACTAGGCAACAAGCTTCGCAGTGGCGCCTTCCAACTGAACCGAAACCGAAAAAACCACGCCGATCAAAAGTCAAAGTCATGTTGACTGTTTTCTTTGACTATCGCGGTGTTGTGCACTCGGAATTCTTGCCGAAAGATCAAACGGTAAATTAAGAATATTATTTGAGCGTTATGCGGCACTTAAGAGAGCAAATTCGATGAAATGGGGCCAGATTAGTGGATAGAAAATTCATGGATTTTGCACCACGATAATGCGCCTTCGGACAAGGCCATTATTGTGAACGAATTTTTGACCAAACACTACAAATACCATCAAGCAACCACCATATTCACCAGATATGGCTCCAGCCGACTTCTTTCTTTTTCCTAAACTCAACTTACCACTTCATGGCACCCGTTTTCAATCGGTAGAAGACATAAAGGAGAATTTACCCCGAGAACTGAACTCAATTCCGGAATCAGCGTTTAAAAAATGTTTATAGGATTGGATTATTCGTTGGCGTAAGTGTATCGTTTCTGAAGGAGCATACTTTAGAGGTGATAAAATAAATTTGGATGAATAACAAACATTTTGTGTATTATTGATCTTTTCCCGGTACTTTCTTCACAGAGTAGTAGGTATATATAATAGATATATATTGTACAACAAGATATATACATATCAACATAAATGCAATTTCAAATTAGATAAATGTTGACAGTAAGTATACCTACCTAATTAAAAGTTTATGACTTTTGTTTTCCACAACAATAAGAAAAAAGCGACAAATCGATAGAACTTTATACTGAGAATTAATAACCATCAACACCGATAAAATAAGAAGAAAATGAGTCTATTTCTATGGAGCGAATAAACTAGACTAGCACGCACAGGGCCATAGTTGAGGACGGGTCCTACCTTAAACTAATCCTATAGAATGTTTCTTTTTGTAGGATGGCCCACTTACTAATATATGCATTATAATCAAACTAATTATGGTCAGGACTAGATAACCAATAGTTAGGTCTAATGAAGTAAGAAAAAGAACCCTAATTGGAACTATTGTTAAACTTAATGCAGTTACATATTATAATTACTTTTGTTAAAATTTAATGAGGCCAACTTAAAGTACATCTAACTCAATTCAAAAGAGAGTGAATAAAAGTGTCCAGTTGGTGAAGATATTGCGTAATATGTATTGTGTATATCTAAACCGAAACATCTGAACAGAGCATCTCCTCCCTTTTTGAAGTAGTTTAATAAAAAAGTATAGCATTTTATTAATGGACACGCAAATGTAACGTTTTGTAAATGAGTGTATTGATTGTTTTGGGGAATTACTACAATATATTTTTAATGCCGCCCTACCTGTGACCTCCGTACGCCTGCCCTACCTTCAATTAATTACTGAATACGACCCTGAGCACGCATGTGGGATTTCATTTAGAGATTTTAATCTTTCAACTTTTACTATGTTGAATAATGGAATCTAATAAGATAGTGCAACTAAACTTATACATTCAAATTGTTCTAGTCATATTAGAAGTAAGTAACAAGTTTATACATTTAAGATAATGAACCAGTCACTGTTATAACATTTATCCACTATAAATACACGAAGACTTTATGCAGATAATGTATGTATATATGAGTAAGTTTTTTCATAGTTTGTTAATTAAATGTCTATAACATAAATATGCAAAAATGAACTAATCAAATTGAATAATTATATATAAATTTAGTTTGTCCAAATAGTAAATAGACAATACTTGGAACGATAGTTTACACCAAATCTAAAACGGCATGTTACACTTATGATAATCATCAATTGTGTTTTAAGTATTATCCAATCACAAACACCATGATCAAGGAAGATTAAGCGTATAAAGAAATACTTAACGGTAGCCAATACTAAACCTCATTAACGACGATTGCGCGTTGTCGACGGACCACTAACAGGAGCTAGCAGTCGCCGAGGTACCAAAAGACGAGCGTTTCCTCTTGCAGGTCTCGAAGCTCCAGGCTGCTTTAAATCTGCTAAATGCGAAGCGTAGCCATCATTTAACGTAGTTGCCATGTTGCTGTACTTTTTACTTATACGGCCAATAGCATATATTTGCCTTGGAGTTAATCCACAATTATGATACACAGTAATATCTTTACCTGATCCGTATGCTGCCTGCAAAATGATTCCGTGGTCATTTACAAGACTATTTAAATGCGCTGACTTATGACCTAATGGATCTGTTGAGAATCCATCAGAAAAAAATACCAAACCATGAGGAAAGTTGTGTTCAGCAAGCCATGATATGACTTTTCTCTGTTGCATATCAGGTCGTCCTGTGATATACAAGATAAGATACCCAAGATCTTGCCAAAATCGCACGACATCTACGGCTCCCGCTCTCACTTTAGGATCTCTACCAGTAACTGAGACACTAGCGGTGAACGATCCATCAATACTAAAAACGATGCACTCAGTTTGTGGTGGCACTACAGCAAGATGAAAATTACAGCTGGTGTGGTCACCACGAACAACAACTCTTACTGGGTAAATACCACAACTTACACTTTGTCTTTCTGACAAAGTATATGAAATTCTTCCAGTTTTGTCAGTTACTACTGTAGACAATATCGTCCATTCTCCTGCTGGAGGATCCTTCATCATATAAATATCGACTTTTTCACCAGTTAAAGTGATCATGTCCAGTGGCCCATACATGAAACGAGCCACAAATGTTTGTGGGCATCCCTCTTTAACGACAACGTCATTAGCTCTATGATTTGCAGCTACGTTTTTAAGTTTTACTGAAGTTCTTTTTCTCATCCACTTTTCTCTTTCTTGTCCAGGTTTAAACAAAGGACATTCTTTATCGTCAGAGTGTCCATATAAAGCTAGATCAAAATGTCCTATTTGCCTTAATATGAAAGCGATTACATCAGAACTTTCCCAATAGCTAGCATGAAATAAATGTGGCAAAGCATTTGTAGGAAAATTTGTCAACCCTTCAGGACAGTACAAAGCATAGTCAAGTCGTTTAGATCCCCACCATTTTTGTTGCAAAGCATTCATTGTTATTAAGGGAATGTTATCAACTAAACCACTAACCGTACTTTGTACTGATGCTTCCGAAAGTCTTCTCAAAAGTGGCGTAGCCGGCATTTGCAAGTGATCTCCAAAGAGTTGTGGATGACTCTGTATTAGTTCTAATAGATGATAAGGTTGACCATTACCTAGCGGATATTTTGTATACCTAGCAACGTTTATAGGCGGTAAATTCGTAAATCTGGCTGAAAGTAGTGGCTCTAGTCTTGATCCAACAGGGTCTGTAGGATGAAATAAATTAAACACTTGCTGCACGGGTGGTTTCATTATATCACGTACCTTATCGTCCGAAATTTTTCTCGACGCTAAAATAAGTGATAAGGGGCTACCAAAAGTGAAAAAATCGCTTACTTCGAATTCCAATTTCACATGGTTATCACTTGTTGATGACGACCGCCTTCTAGGAGTTGGAGCTTGTAAATGCGACTTGTTTAAATATTGAGATTCTAGGGGGTCATTAGGAATAGTTATTTCTGTATCCAATATGCTATTTTCACTATCATGTCGGGATTGGTACTGCAATGTTCGAATAAGAGCGTCATACGCTAATACTGACCCCATGCTATCACCAACAACACAAACTTGCCCATTAAATCCTTTTCCGTCATCTGATTTCATAAATTCATTGTAAACAGCATTTGCAGAGTTTATTGTTTTTGTCACAGATTCTGCATAATCAGGTGAAGTGGTAGCGATCAAGGGAATCGCTCCAATAGGTATGAGATCATTGGTAAGTGAAGGTGATTCAATGGTTGATGGTGAACAGTCAAAACTGTAAGGGCTCAAAGTTGATAACACTCCCAGGGCTTCAGTGCATATAGATGGACATGAAACTAATTTTATTGTTATATGTCCTATGAGTGTTGGGTAATGTTGGCGCATCACTGACTCGAAAGCTCCCTTAAAAGTAGTGACATCAGATTTTTTTGCAGTCATGTCAACATTTGCATCAAGAACACTGCCTGCATGAAAAACTAATATCAAAACAGTAGTTGGACAAGAACTATGAACAGGAGTTTCAGGAAAACCATCAATGCTGTGGTGACTTTGTAAATTTGATACTCTTCGAGAACCTCTCTCTGAAGTAACTCTTTTTAAGAAACTAGGATTGAATATGCTATCTTCTTGGCATTGATCACCTTGAGAAGGAGAAATATCTATGTCACCTTCATCAAGAGAACACATTGAAGACCATTTGTTTAGTGTTGACTCACAATCATAAAACTCATCTTCTGAACCAGTTTCTGTTTCCGACTCTCTAACAAGAGTTTCCATCCTCCAATTAGCTGCTTGTGCTTGTAAGCTCTTAATAGAGCCTGAAGAAGAAGATCTAAGATTTGTCTTAGTAGTGGCTTTATGTTCGGAAGGTGGTGTTCCTTCAGGTGTCAAATGTTTTTGTAACCTTACCTCTGTAATATTTTTTTTGGAGACTAAAGGCGTGGGTACTTCTTCATTCTTTTCTAAACTACTCATTGTAGCTGCAAGAGATTTAGAATTCTCTTCGGATAGATCAAGTTCATCAGTTGTATCACCTGCCATTTTTTTTTGCAAAGCCAACTGAGTCTGCCTTTCTATTTCTCTAATATCTTCCATTGTAAGGCCATACCATTCATCTTGCCATGCCCATGCCTGACGGTGAGCCCTCAACATAGTTTTCCGTAAAGCAACATCATGGATGAATTTTTCTAATTTAGTTTGCATTCCCCAATATCTGAATTCTACTCTACAGAGTTTATAGGCACACATTAGAGATTTCCCATTTGGCAGTGGTTGTGCTTTGCCCTGTACTTCTTGCCAATATTCTTCGAGCCAATTATCAGAGAGTGGACCTCTGTTGCATTTTTGTGATACAAATAATGTTGGATCTTCCTCTTTTAAATAATCAGCACCATATAGCTGATCTTTACAGACATCAATAACATCTACTATTCTACTTTTTAAATCACTTCCAGTTAATTTGAAGACATTTTCTTGGTGGCCATTGTCAGCATAATAATAAGTCTCTATTTCTAATGAAAATTTCTCAACAAATGGACAAGTGTATCGAGTTTTTGTATAAGGGTAAGCATTCCAAGCTTCTTCAGACACTGTTAAGGCAGATTTTGGAAGTAAGCTTTTAAACCACCCAGGTAAATGACTACCAACATGATAGATTTTTTGAGTGTACTGACCTTTCCCTCCAGGCCCATCTTCATATGGCTCATTTACAAGAATTTCCACTCCACTGCCTTCACCAGAACTTTCCTCTCTACTCTTTTTAGCTATCATATACAGCTGCGCAATCCTGTACTCCTCTACTGTGAGAGGTAGAGGAATTCTGTACTCTTTTATTAGCATATTGGTGCTTCAAAGTTTGTTTATAATATGAGAAAACATATCTGAAACAAAGGTATTGATTTATTGGTTAATTTAATTTATGAACAAATTTGGAACAGTGCCATATTAAAAGAAGGTTACAATTATAACTTGTATTGTATCTTGTTTTATGAATATTATTGAGTTTTTGACTTTTGACTCCAGTGTTGATTTTTAAAAACACATTCAGTAATTATATTTTTTAATTATTACTTAAAGATTAAATGTAAGATTTTACTGTTAAAATAATATTTAGTTATGTGGACCAATAAATATGTGTAGGTTTTTTTTTCTCAACTTGCCTTAATTCCACCGGCAGTATAAATAATATAATTCATGTTAATATGTAATAATTGTGTTACCATTTACTTTGATAGTTTAACAAAAGATGCCATCGTCACAATTTATTGGACGAGGCTTAAAAAAAATAAACTATCGAAATAATCACGTATTTTAGTCATTAATTAAATAAACATTACATTTAAATCTAAAGAAGTTCAGATAATTAAGACTTCATTATCATTGGCTATTATGAGACAGATACCAGTATAAAATAAGTAAATTACCTCAGAGAGTCAAGAATAAATATTCTCCCATAATAATACACTTAACACGGCATCTTTAGTTTTATTAAAACCCCTTCAGCAAAAAAACTCAACCCAAGTACGGGTGTATAGATGAACTTTGACATTTTCGCTACTGTAATGTCAATATGGCCTAACTGCCATTCCTTTCCATGTTTTAACTGAACACGGCTGTTCCCGTTTCGTAATGGCTACAAAGCTTTATTTTCCACAATACAAGAACATAATGGTTGATCGAACTTCTTCCAGGACTTCACATTCTACGCATCACTATGTTACTAATAAAAAGCACAATAATGAGCCCAGTCTTCTGCTCAGAATGTAAATAAATATACTTTGTATAACTACACTAAGAGCGTAGTTTGTGTACCTATATGCCCGATCGTAGATTGGAACGCTGTTGATTCTGCGTAGGTACGATGAGGCCGTATGCATAGTCTTTCCACTTTCGTGTTAACTAGGTAAGTCATCAACTGTGCTCGCGTCCTAAGTTATGGTTCCCCAGCATATTGTTAAAATTATTATATAATATTTTTAAAGTAAAACTTCTTTAAGCACGCTTGACTTGGGGAGTAAGCTGGTGAATGTGTGATGAGAGCGTTGCGAAAAGTGTGATTGGGCGAGGCGAACGGAAGTTGAGAGGGAGATATAGTGAAGATAGCAAGAGAGAGAGTTACGTTTCGTATATTACTGTAGGGGCAAGAGAGAGAGGTGCGAGCACACATTTTCTTTCTCTCTTTGTCACATGGCCAAGAACTTTTACTTCAGTCGTGTGGTCTAAAGCACACTCGTTTTTTTTAAATATATACAGTTACATAAACAAAAACAGAGTTGAAATGTAGCATGAAGATAGGGTCACATCAACAGCCTTTAATAGTCCACTGCTGGACATAGGCCTCTCCTTAGAAAGAAGGATACGTGTTTTTAATATCGATGTATGTGCACACTACTTACGTTAATAATAGAGGAACTTTTTCATGTTGTCTTAACTGTTTAACGTCGCTTAATTTTAAACCTAGAATCTACCCTCTTGGGAGCAATTTACTTTCCCTTTACCTTTATCGGCAGCAGATGATGCTCTGACTCATGAACCTGATTAGTACCGCGTTTACCTAATTTAAAATATGTATTTAAATTATATTTGGTTGAGCCTTTGTTGAATCTAACATAACTTAGCAACTACTGTATGACTGTCACTTTTTGGGTATGATGATTTTAAATAAAACTTTATCTACCAGATAAACCATAATAGTTAGTTGAATTTTAAAACAATCTTGATATATTTTTCATTTTCACTTATGACCTTGGTGAAGAAGATACGCATAGTAAGTACAAGTGATCAAAGGGTTTAATTACTTGCCATCTTAGAACTCTAAAAGTGATTTGAGGTTTACCTATCGACTTCGCTCACAGTGTGTTAACAAAAACAAATTTAATTGTGCTAGAAATTCGTCAGACTAACTTGTAAAAGTCACGAAATGGTTGCACTATGAATACAGTCTTCTTCACTAGATGGACACGAGAAAATCGATAATATCCGTCACAGAATTAAAGCGCTTGGTAGCGCTTTTATCAATACTTACATGATTTGCTCTCACTATTACTATGACTGTTTAAGACGGTTTATGACGGTGACGGATTAAGAAAACAGAGTGTCACCACCCCTATTCATCCGTCGTAAGAGTCGACTAAGGGAATAAACTTTGCAGGACAACAACACTGCAAAAAGAAGGAAAACTTGAAACAAACCCTATACCAACCCGTCTGGCCAGCGTGGTATAGTAGGCCAAAACCTCCATTGTAAGGAGAGACTTACGTCCAACAGTGGACTGTTAGGGGCTGTTGATGATTACTATTTTTATATGTGTGGTGAAGGATTAAAAATACGGAGTGTCACCACCCCTATTCATCCCGTGGGTGTCGTGAGAGCCGAATAAAGGAGCAAACTACGTAAACAGCACTGCAAAGAGAAGAAAAACTTCCCTACACCAACCTGTCTGGCCCTTGTATAGTAGGCCTCCTTTCTATGACCAGCAGTGGTCTATTAACGGCTGTTGATGATGATGACCCCTATTTCTTCGGGAATCCCGATCGTTAATTATAATCCTTACGAAATTTATGATCGGCCCTTAATGTCTGAGGATCGTGGTCAGCATCTGGAACGGATAATGTCCCTCCACCAGTTCCTGTCCAGCGCGTCGCACCACATTGAATGCATCAATTCTTTGTCTCTCACGGCTCAGGCAGACTCCTTCTATGTTTATATATATATAGGAGGCAATCACTACCTAAGTAGTAGCTATAATTACATACATGCCTACGTAAATTTCGACATACTTATTTGTCGATTAAGCCACTTTTTAACTATAACGTCTCGTCGTTTAGAACTATAAAGTTAACTTTCTTAAAAATCGAGTCCTGATATAGAAAAACTACATACGCGACTCTACACGCACTTATCCAGGTAGGTAGGTACCACAATCAAGAGCAAATTCTTATCATGCTAGTGGGTTTCTTAAACTGATATTATTAAAATCTAACTTGCAGTACGTTAGATTATATTAGTTATTGTTTATCTTGTAGGTACATAATGTACCTAGGTTACCCAATTGGTAACATACATTAGGTACAGTTAGTGATGTTTTAAATACCGTATCTACTTTTCTGGTGGTTTTACACCGGTGAGGCGAACCGTGTATGGAATGGTCATGGAATGAAATTTGTATGGCAATTTTTTTATCCACGGTATAAAAAGTCTAGATGCGCGAGGATGTGCGAAGCGAGAATTGAAATATTTGTAAGTATAATATAGAACTTTACTGCTTTAAGAATTGCCAAAGTATTTATTTACTTTGTAAATGTACAAATCTCGCACCGGCTATCGAGGACGACACACTCTATCTCCGTCAAGCGCTGTCTCTGAAATAAATAGAAGCACACGGCTCACATAGTCGTTCACTTAATTTAGGTATGAATAACAACAGAGTGATTTCAATTCACACCCATTCCATCCACGCCTCGCCGGTGTAAAACAACCTTTAGCCTACCTATCAAGTAACTAAGGTAAGTGATACAAATAAGGCCTAGGTACTTTATTTCTAATACTCATATATTGATAAATATTTGAAGCAGGTGATAAATAAAAGCAATTCTTTGGCTTACAAATTATAAATAATTAAGAAAAAAAATGTTTTTTTGAATTAGGTAATTATTTTTTTTTGTTATTAGAGCATTAATGATATAAAAAATTGTGTTTCTGAGCCTTTTATCAAGTGTTTAAATGAGAATCTTGTATAACTTTCTAACTCATTTTACTAAATATTTCGCATAAATTGCTGGTAAGAAGTGAAGTCGCGTATTAACAAGATATAAAGAAATTTACAAAAAACTTGTCTACAAAATAAAATTAACAAATTAACATCTCAAAAAAATTACAAAACGTTTAAAAAATCACTAAACTTTAATAGGTCTTATTTAAACAAGGTTACTAAATAAAGCCTTGAAACATAATAGAATTAACTCAAGCCGCTCTCAAGCTTTCTTCGGACCATGTGGCACACTTTGGTCATGGAGGATTCATAATCAGATAACCAATCTGTAAATTGTCATAATGAAGATAAAATTCAACAGTCTCCTCTTAAGGCACAGGGTCACAAATAAGGCCTATTATTACAACTAGGTCTTGAAACAGAACTTCATCTTATTAAAAATCGATAGAAGTCACAATAAATTAATAACGCGCTACAAAAACACTCCTCTTTCACCAATGACCGCCTTCCATTTTCGCCTCCAGTGTGTGAAAAGTATTTTTGATGTAAATATATTTGAAATTACTTTTCGGCACTACAGGCCTTAATTAAGCTTATTTGTATCAAGTAGGTTTATTAAGCTTATTTTACTTTGCACCAAGTTTAACTAGGCCAAAAGGTATCAAGTGCAATAATGTTTCATAATTATTTAAATTTAATATATTTAAAGTGTCACATGTACCTATTGGCGTCTTTTCAAATACTTTAGTTTGTAATCAAATATTTTTTCTACGCTGTTTATTAAGTATTTCTACCACTTACTAACATATTAGTTATTCTGTGCCCCGCTATCAGCAAGCTTATGGACGAAACATCTGGCTGCTTTAAATTTGTCGACGCTCCGCATTTTTGTCGACGCAAGAGTCCGAACAGGCGGAGTGCTGTCCTTTAATCTTATCTACCTAAACAGGGGAAATACTACTATTGAAGTAAAAATTTTTACCGATACATCCCTCAGTACCTAATTCAAAGAACAAAAATGAAAATGTACCTATGTTAAATTTAAAAAAGAAAAGCACTAACATAATTTTCTTGTAATAAGATTTATTATAAGAAACCTTACAAAATTGAACAAATTTAATACCTATACGTACCTATGTGTGTCCTAGACCGTTTGATCTTTAAACAAACAGAATCTTGTTGCGAAGTCTTTGAATAGAACTAAAGTAGTTATATATCTATATCGTTGGATATGTCTAAGCGTCTCTTTTAATGATATTTCATTTCATACCACATAGTTGGTTCCCTTATTTCCGGCCCATGACTCCCGTCACTATAAACCAACTCGCCAGCGTACTTACCTCTCTAATGGTCCTTTTTTTTTGTTGACGGGTGCAAAATCCCTTCGGATCTTCGGCTCCTTTTGGATATAGGAGCCAGGAGTATGTGGTGTTTCCACTAAAAACCACCCCGACTGCAGCTTTAGGCGGCCTGCTTTAGGGAGAAACCGGGCTATGTGACTTCAGGTCCCCCCAGATCGACACCGCACCTACCTAGGCCCTATCTCAGGGAAAGCCAGTTGCTTCTCCCTGCCTATCAGCCTATCTAGACGTAACGGTCCTATCACATTTTTAGTGCGATCAGGCTGCCATTCTATCCCCTACCGCAGCAATTAATCTGCCACCAAAAGTCCCCACTCTTTTGCGGCCCGCGGTCTTCTTCGCTTCAGCGGTCACTTTCTGGAGCATTACAGCCTTATAGAAAGGGACCACTGCGCTCCAGCCCTCCTCACCCGCTCGCAATGATTGCTGGCGGGTACAGGTCTCGTCCAATTTGGTCGACCAGGACTTCGCGTTCAGATGCCCACGCAGGGCAGTCTTTTAGTCTGTTCTGGGCGGAGTCCCAGTCAGCCGCGCAGTGCTGGCATTGTGCCGTCTCCTGGCGTCCAATCCGATTGAGATACTCACCGAAGCAACCATGCCCAGTGAGCACCTGCGTCAGTCGGTAGGTGACAGGACCTCCCTCCCTACCTACCCAAGTTTCGAGGTTAGTAAAACGGCACCGACAGCACGTTAGCGCGTTCCGCGGCTGTTTCAACTGCGCACGCCACTGCCTGTCAAATATAAAGTGCATAATCGGTATATTGACTGAAGCTTTGATTTTATATTATACACGCAGGAGAAAATACATATACCTACATATAAGTACAAATACATAGAATTCTTATTATAATCTCACCGTATTTGCCATAATTCAGTAAACACAATTGTTACATCCAATACAGGGTGTAAGGGACGTCGTAACTGAAATAGTGTATTCAGACCATGATTCACAGGTATCTTAAACTACAGAGGGTCAACTTTTTAAGCTTTATATCGTATCAAAATATATGAGGGCATAAACTTTAAACTGGTTAACGCAATGCATATTATGCCATTCAAAACATACCTGTTTGGCGCAACGTAATGATTACCTTGTCCGTACCAGAAGAATCGCTCGAATTATTTCGCTCTCAGAACATGTTTATTCTGCGTCACTAAGTGATATCCGATTCATAGCATATTAAAAAGTTTCTTGTTTTCTGAGACAATGTAAGATTTATTCGATGTCTGTTGTACACACCTTTTTCGGCCTTAATTAAAGATGTCTTGTTTATATATTTGGGTATTCGTATCAAACAGTGAAGGTCTAATATAACATGTTAATCGATGCGTACGACATACCAGAGGAATGCGCTGGGGCTCGGGTTTGGGATAATGTATTTTTATGAGCTCGGCGCCGCCGTTGAGGAGGAGCTGTAAGCTGGGATAGGCTATAAATTAAAGAATCAAATAAAAAACCAAATTTATTAATAAAAATGTACTTGTGCATTATTATTCGCTAGTATACCTAATAATATTAAAAAATAAATATAGCTATCCTTAAGACAGATAAGCAAAACCAACGTCATATTGCACGAGTTTAGGTAAAATAAGTATACAAATAAAGTCACAAAAAGAAGAATGTACAGTTTAAAAATAAAAATGCAGCTGATATCCTCAAAGGTAAAAAGGTATATAAAATATTTTTTTTATGAATTCTATAATATGTGTTTAAAATATTTTTTTCGATTTGACATGCCCTAAATCTAAAGAAGCTATAACGCTGAAACGCTGCTCCTTTGTTCTCCATAGTTACTTATTGTATATAAAAACATTTAATCTTATCCAGATAATACTTTAGTGATGTCTATAAAAGACTTGTGCAATGCTTCGATAAATTGGGTGCTATCGTTGTGTGATTTGTAACTTGTTACAGCCGCGCCCAGTTTATCAGGGAAAGCTGAATACCTGTAATATTGAAACTTGATTAATAGGAAGCACAAATCAAAGTCGCAGCCCGAAAATACAAGCCAAGTTTATACTAGGTACTACCGGGTTATACGCTGATTCTTAAAGTTTTTTTCATTGAATTTATATTATATATTATCCTAGACTTTTATACCTGGGTAGATAGCTGGCAATACCTACATGTTTTTATCACACGTGCAACTCAACTGCCATTTTTTTTTTAAATAGTGCTCAAAGAAAAATATTTAAAATTTATTTCATTTTGCTATTATCAACCATCTACTTCGCCCAGGTTTGTTGAAATAACTATAATTTTGGTAGTGGAAATTATAATACAATGTGTCAACGATACAAAAACAGTAAAAAAGAAAAAAAAAGACGTGTGGCACTCGGGGACTGCCGCGGTAAAGCTATTGCATAGCATTTTTTATCAACTTAGTATTAAATAATTATCTTAGGAAAACCCTATAGAATTTTGCCCGGCTCCGGAATCGAACCCACTAAGGCAGTGTTTTCAAATTCCACACGAACAAAGTCGCAGGTACCAGCTAAAAAATCAGTAGGGGCCAGATTATTCGTCTCCTTAACCCAAGTGCTCCAGGAACCGAAAAAATCAAAAGGGGTAAAAATGTAAAAAGTTGAAGGGTGAGGGGGAGGTATTTTGTGCGGACCTAAATGCAATCATAAAAAAATAAGTCATCCCTCGAAAATACTCCCCCCCCCTCGCCCCTCTTTAGAAAAACAGACTGAAGTGTTGTTACATGTTACGATACTTTTCAAAAAAAATCTGTAGGGGCCAGATTGTTCGTCTCCTTTTCCCGGTTCAGACAAACCCAAACATGGGAGTCCAAGTGCTCCAGGTACCGAGAAAATTAAAGGGGGGATAAAAAAGTGGAGGGGAGAGAAGGGGAGGTATTTTGAAGGGACCTCAATGCAATTATAAAATTTTTGGTGGTGGAGGGGGGGGGGGTATTGTATGTGGATGTTATTACATTAATAAAAATAAACTGGTCTCCCCCCTTTATCATGTCAAAGGAACACCCTATCTTAAAAAAAGTTCTGCTATTCATCGATAGATGGCAAAACTAAAAAGTATCACCGCTGTGCCGGTCGGAGTGGGAGGTGTTAGGTTATTTTCGTTACGGAATTTCTGGATTCGGTCTCCGCGCTCAAGGCCCGCGATAGAAGCTATGCAATAGCTTAAAAATAGACAATAACTTTAAAATATTGTATTAGGCAAAATTTCGTCAATTTTTATAAAAAATCTTAAAATTCCAATATCTTGAAAATGGTTAGGTTTGGGATATAGTATTTAATAGTGAATTCTATTTTTTATAATGGCAACTACAACCCTCTAAAATATCTAGGTCGACTTAACCAGTTACCCTGTATATTATATAAAATTGTGCGAAAGGTGGGTAATTAATTTTATATTTTATAGAAATTAAATTATTTGACAAGGTAATGTGTCTAGTCGTTTTAAGCTAAGTTTATAAGCAGAACAGTCAATACTAATATTAAATGTTTGCTACTTTTCATTAAAGAGAGTGATAACTGGCTATAGTAATACCGGTTTACTATAAATATTCGACACTTGTGAATAATATTGTTTTAAGTTTACATGGTAATTTAGGTTTTCATGTTTTACCAAAAGAATCGTGCTTATGACATAGAATTGTATTAAGGTAAAGTAAAAAGTTTCCGACCAGGCTTCTACTAAATTTCACGTCTGTTCTAAACATGATCTTTTGTCTTCTGTTTTTTGTACAAATTTCGTGCATATCTAGCGGCGCGAAACCTTTTTAGATAATTAACCTCGAAAGAAATTCATCAAAATTATGAGAAGGTTACACAGGGCTTTGCTCTTTTAATGCCAAACGTTAAATAGTGGACAGCTGAATTAAAAGTGGACATACATCCCTCGAGGATCACTTATATGAAAGACAGTCAAAAGACGAAAACCACAACAGTATACATGGTAAAAGTGCACGACCTCGTGTTGGATATAAGAAGGTAAGAGAGATAGCCGAGCTGATATGGGAAACTAGGTTGATAATGCTGATCAAAAGCAAATGCGAACACTGTTGTCGCAGCAATGTTTACACCGATTCCATTAGGAGTTCAATAAGGACTAATTTTGTACGGCGATTTGTTGCTATGGTACAGACATGTGTCCACTTTTAGGTGCAGTATGACATCATGTGGTTTTATTTAGTTTGATTCCTACACACCGACATACCGCAAACCAAACCAGGTTTGCATGTGGAGACCCATGCACAAAAAAAATGAGTCCACGACATATCAGAAATCAAATACATATCAAAGCTGTGTGGCTGGAAACCGGTGGTTCAGCATCAAAGAAAGCGAAGTCAAACGCATTTATACGCAAAAGGTCAAAGCCATTTTGTGATTGAATGTTAATTACCTACTTAAGGCGAGACTTTTTAAGTAATATGATGAGCATGTTACATCCAAAATGTGTGTACGTGGTAGAGTCTATTTATTTGTAATCCTCCATCTCTTGCAACAGACCTATATGTATATGGAAAGCTCGCGCTGATATTTTTACTTACCCAATGCCAAAACCTTCCTTTGCAACAGGTCCAAAACCACCTGCTAACACACTAGGTGACGATAACGTACTTGTACTGAGAATAGATTTATTCAAGTACTTGTACTCGTAAGAGTCAAATATCTCAGGTCTTGGCAAGTTGTTTTCTTCTGCAATTTTCATTAAAGCGAACATGTGACGGTCAAACCCTTGGCCCATAGCCGCTTGTTTTACCAACTCGGTATGAACCGAAGAACATTCTTGCAGTAAGCCACGTAGGTCTTCCACTGACGACTTGTTTGCGTGCAGTGTTTCACAGAATGCCTGTAAAGTAGAATTAAAAGATGCTAGTACATATTTAAGAAATACGGTTAATGAAAAATAGCTTTACAAGAGATCTGTTTCTTTTGAGTTGTGCCCAAAAATTGCCAAAAACCCGAACGGTCAAGATTCCGATGCATGGATACATGTTTATAGTCGTGTGCGTGACCGCAACTGTCCACTGGTCGTATCGATGATTCTTTTACATAAATGTCTTGCTCCAAACATTGACACTGAATTCATAGTAGCCGTAGTAATTTTGCCTAATAAAGATAACATAATAAATGTGCTAGCGTTGTATTTCGAAATTAAACGTCGATAATCCATTATATTAAAGATATCGTTACGCGATAACATGATTAACGAACGAATGTATAGTGTATTAATACAGTTTTCTATTGTTGAATCAACAAATAATGGGGATTATATTACTTCATTTTATTAGATTTTTTATTTTTGCTCTATCGTACAGTGCGATAGAGTACTCTTTATACATATTTTAAAAGATATTAAATTTAGTGTGGCGAGTGTGCGTGCTTGCAATGTCACTATGCAACGGTTGCTTAGAACGCCTCCCGCGTACGAATTTTGAAATAAAATTGGTTCAAAATGTTGAATTGTCTAGTAAAATGTGTTACTAATAATAATAGTCCATATTTACAACACTACTAATGCGAAATCCTCTGATCATCTTGGGAAAAAATATTTACATTTATTAAGATGAGTTTACATAATAGGCTGCAACATTGAAAATATTCTCCACATTATGGTCATCCTATTAGATAATATAATAAAAACATTTATTTCACGCATATTGGTGTAAATTTTTAAGCAAATTTAGTGTTTTTAGGGTTCCGTACCTCAAAAGGTAAAAAGGAACCCTTATAAGATCACTTTCTTGTCCGTCTGTCCGTGTGTCACCAACGATTTTCTCATGAACGGGTAGACATAGCAAGTTGAAATTTATACCAGATACTGAGGTCTATGGTCCCTATTAGGTGTATAAAAATCAAGGTCCTGAGTCAACACGATACAAAGATATAGGCAAATTTCGATTTTCGCGAAACCTTGTAAGTACCAAAATTTACCTTAATTTTCAACTTTTTTATTTTTCAGTTTCTCTTTACTTTTTTAGAATTTTCTCTTTACTTGTGTTGTAAGACCTTGCTGTTAACCAGAATTGACAATTCTAGGTAAACCTACCTACCTATAGGTTTTGTATCGAAAACCTATATGGTAGTTCCCGTTGACCTAGCATCACAAAATTTGGCAAAAAGAAATGTCTTAGAGCACAAATAAAGGAATAATACCAAAAAACAAAAAAAGTTGAAAATTAAAATAAATTTTGGTACTAACAAATTTTCGCGAAAATCTACGTAAAATCTGTCAATAACGTCAATAACGTTACGTCATGATCTTGGGGAGTTGTTCTCCCCACCCCCTTGAGTAGGCGACTGGCGTGTGACACGTTTTGGTTTAGAAATTTAAACTTTAACAGCGATTTTTAAATATAAATAGATCTAATCTCCCAGCAATGTTAATGTACTATATGTATAAAACATCATGTATAGAATAATCTAAAACATTTTCTAAACTTAGTCAAATAGCCTATTATTGTTAACACGCTTTTATAAAATAATTAAAATGAAATAAAATATTTCTCCTCCTTGCATCTCGGCAGACAAGATAGAAATCGTAGTTACATAAAACAAGTAGGTAACCATGCTCTTGTCTATACTTTTATGTCACATACTTACTATACTTTTAAAACAACAGAGATTTACATAAAACTAAAAACATGGTCAGACATATATTAGACACTAGCTGAGACCCGCGGTGTTACCCGCGTTTGTTGTTATAACCGCAGGCAACGCCGCGGGGCGAAGCTAGTCTAAAAAAAGTAGCCTAAGTTACTCCTTATGTCATCAGCTATCTGCCAGTGAAAGTCCCGTCCCGTTATTTTAGCATATGTACCGTGTAAACATACATATGCATTTGGTAAAAAGCGGTTATTTTAATATTACAAACAGACACTCCAATTTTATTTATTTGTATAGATGTATAGATTAACATATAACAGACATTAACATATATTAGGCCAGTCAGTTATTACATCCTGTTTTACTAAACTATAATTAATATTTAAGCCTAGGGAAGATTTCTGTTACCTTAGTCTTTTCTGTACAGGGCCGCATCGTTTCTGTTCTGCCATGTTTGAATGCCGAGGTACTGCAAGATTCGTATGTACCAACAAAAGAGCCCTTTAGTAAGTGATGAGCTGCCTGAAACCAAAATAAGATAACGGTCAGCAATAGTGCGACAACACATGGCATTTTGTAAGTTATTTGAAACTAATATGTATACCTGATTTCCTTGCTCCCTTTATTGAGACATTATAGGAAGAATATCATTATTGTCTATTAAATATCATACTTTTTACTTACTACATTGATGGGAGGCAGACAACGAAGGGCATATGAAATACAACCCTAATATCATCAAAAGAATTAAGCATTACACAATAGAAAGAGGCAAGTACGTACTACTTAGGTAAAATGAACTGCAAGTTCTTAACTTTGGGCAATTTATATTGTAGTTCATTGTGTCGGTGCAAGACCTGCTATTGAATTAAAAGAGTTGTACTCAATGGAACTTCTGTACTGGTATGTTTTCTGTTGTATTGGCTAAAGAGGCAATATGTTACCACATAATAGGATCAGAAACAATGAATAAAAATTGCAGTGGTCGGTCTTTGCATTAATATGCAAATTTTATAATTAAAAGGTATGCATACCTGAAATCCAAGTTGCATAATACAATCGGGGCTGACTTTATATTTCTTACAATCTCCTTTGTTCAGACCTTCATACAAAATGTAATCAATACTTAGGGAGCCACACCATGTTTTGTATTCTTTTTTGGCGTCGTCTATCCATTGCTTTATCTTGTCGTCTAATTTGAATTCTGCAAGAAAAGAGAGTTAGTTAAATTTGAAAAAAACATACAAAGCTGCAAACACAGTACTTATCATTTCTATGTACTAAATAAGTACAGTAATCCCCCCCTATAACACGGTAGATTTGTTCCGCGTTATAGGAAAACGCGTTATGTACAAATGATTCACGTTTTACTTTTCTCGTTGAAGACTTGTACGACCACGTATAACGCGTTATGTACAAATTATTCACATTTTACTTTTCTCTTTAAAGGCTTGTACGACCACGTATAACGCGTTATGTACAAATGATTCACGTTTTACTTTTCTCGTTGAAGGCTTGTACGACCACGTATAACGCGTTATGTACAAATTATTCACATTTTACTTTTCTCTTTAAAGGCTTGTACGACCACGTATAACGCGTTATGTACAAATGATTCACGTTTTACTTTTCTCGTTGAAGGCTTGTACGACCACGTATAACGCGTTATGTACAAATTATTCACATTTTACTTTTCTCTTTAAAGGCATACATACTTTGTACATAACGCGTTATACGTGGTCGTACAAGACCACGTATAACGCGTTGTGTACAAATGATTCACGTTTGACTTTACTCGTTAAAGTGGGTTTAAATCGAATTATGAACCAATGAACTAATTATGAACTCTAAAAATCATTATAAATTTCACAGTACAGAAATATAACGTGGGAAATCCCCGCGTTATATGGTGGAATAACCGTGCTGTTGTGGGAAAGATTCATGAGCTGGGTCTGAGAGTGGCACCTCAGAAAACTGAGGCGATAGGGTTCCATGGCCTACGTAAGCGCCAGGAACCACCCAGCTCATGCCTCCGGGTGGGTGACGCTGAAGTCCAGGTGGTACATGGTCAGTACATGAAGTACTTAGGCCTCATCCTGGACAGTCGGTGGCGCTTCGAAGAGCATTTCGAGCGATTAGTCCCCCGAGTGCGCGGGGTAGCGGGTGCGCTGCATCGCCTGCTGCCCAATCTCGGGGGACCACGGGAAGGAGTTCGCCGTCTCTACATGGGCGTCGTGCGATCCATGGTCCTCTATGGGGCGCCCGTCTGGGCTAAAGACTTGGCGGGTGCCTCCCGCTGCGGGGCTCTACTTAGAAGCCTGCAGCGGTTGATGGCCATACGGATCGTACGGGGCTATCGTACGATCTCGTTTGAGGCGGCAACGGTCCTGGCGGGATATCCACCCTTTGACATTCTGGCAGACATGGACGCGATGGTCTATGACCAAGTTCGCTCTGTCGGTCGGAATGGTGAAGGGGCCGCGCCAGATCATGATCCCGGAATGCTTAGGCGGAACGCACATACGCAGGCTCTGCGGACCTGGCAGGCACGGCTCGAAATCCAGGGCTGTGCTAGCCAACGCGCAGTCGGAGCCGTTCTGCCGAGCTTCGAAGCGTGGGTAGGGAGGAACGACTGTGTCACCTACCGATTGACTCAGGTGCTCACCGGGCACGGTTGCTTCGGTGAGTATCTGAATCGAATTGGACGGGAGGTCACGGCACAATGCCACCATTGCGGGTCCGACCGGGACTCCGCCCAGCACACGCTGGAGGACTGCCTTGCGTGGGAGTCCGAACGTCAAGTCTTGGTCGGACAGATCGGACGAAACCTGTCACCGCCAGCATTGATCGCGGCAATGCTGGCTAGTGGCGAGGGATGGGCAGCCGCGGTCTCTTTCTGCGAGGACGTTATGCTCCAGAAGGAGGCCGCAGAGCGGGATCGGGAGAGGGCCGATCCCGCTCGAAGGAGGCGACGAAGGGGACGCGGCAGAGGTCGTTAGCTTCCCAATCGCCGCCTAAGGGTCGCTGCGGCCACATCTTGGGGCTATGTGGCCGCTGCAAACGACCCGAGACAGACGACACTCCGGTGCGGCCGGGAAGTTTTGTCCATGGCGGGGCGCTGTTGCGCCTCCTACTGTATACAGTAGTGAAAGGCGCGGCAGCCTCCCGCCCTAGGGTGACTACAGTCACCCCGGGATGTGCCTCAGACATGGGGTACGGCAGGGAGGACTCCAGAAGCCGCCGATGCGTTCCTGGAGGTCCTCCTGACTGCCGAGGTAGGCCGCCGCGGGGTTTAGTGGGTAGACCGGTTCTCCGGGAGTCCCACACACGCCCTGCGTTTCCCCAACGGAGGGTATGGTGCGAAAAGCATTCCCCGCGTTAAAAAAAAAAAAAAAAAGGTACAAGTAATATGAAAATGCGTTATAAGAGTACCGTGTTTTAGGGGGGATTACTGTACTTACTACAATGGCGATGGTGCTAATTATCTTACCTAATTTTCGAACAGTAATATTACTATCGGAAGGTTTTGAGTCTGGATGGATAAACGGATTTTTTGTAGTTTCAGCATAGATGTCTTGGAAAAATCTGAGCACAGCTACGCCGTCACCCCACGAGTGCTCAAAGTTTATTCCGGCTACACCGTCCCTTGTCACAATTAGACTGAAGGATTTGTCAAACCACCTGCAATTTGCAAATTTTACATTTGGCTTAGATTAATTTCTGTATGTATATACATATATTTAAGTTGTGCACTTATTGTATGGTAAATATTTAATAGTTCTAAAAACAGCGCGATTTTAGATAGATTGTAGTTATAGTCGGATTTTTATTTTAAACTATTTTTTTCTTGAAATTATTTCTCATAAGAACATTCGGCTTTGTGGTTTTGTAATAAGAACAGATCACAGACAGACATCTATATAAGTGTTTAAATAGGTCACAGCTGGAATGTGCAGTGCTAGTCATTCTATAATAAACAAAATTAGAGCTCATCGAGAAAGTACAATGTAAATTATTTGAGAACCATGCATTGCCGTTGTTTCTGCAGTTTTACAACATCTGATATAATACTGAAGAGGAAGGAAAATCTAAGAAGTAGACGTATTATATTAGAGACAGTGTTTCTGTTTGACTTGTGTAGTAATGAATGTGAATGTCTCTTAAAATCAAATGGTCGGAAAAATTATTGAAGCGCGAATTAAATTTCTACAGCATAGCAGCGGACCTGAAGCGGCGACAGCTCTGATCGTGTTTCGTTTCACGTATGTCTGAGGAAAGGGTGGCAAAACGCATCTTCTTCTCTGAACTCCAGAGCGGCAGGCGGGAACAAGGATGGATGTTCAGAAAAGATTCATGAAGAGTTGCAATATTGATAGTTAGAAACGGGAGGAAAAGGAAAGTTTCGACTTCTCGTACTAAAGCGGGTCTGCGAGCCCTTCTAATCTTTACTTTCATTTAAAAAATTGACATAATAATTACATTTTTGTTCATGTGGGTTTTAGTAACTTAGTGAATTTGTTTAGTCTGTTTGAATTCTACTGAGAATAACGCACAAAAATTAAAAAAGATGTCGAATGATATTATGGAAAATTGGTTGGTTTCACAAACTTATTTCACATCAACAGCCTTTAATAGTCCACAGCTGGACATAGGCCTCTCCTTAGAAAGGAGGTTTTGGCCTACTATACCACGCTGGCCAGATATAGTGGTTGGTATAGGGTTTGTGTCAAGTTTTCCTTCTCTTTGCAGTGCTGGTTGTCCTACGTTTGCTCCCTTAGTCGCCTCTTACGACACCCACGGGACTTATTTATTTATATCAATATAATTTTTTTAATCCTTTGTGCAACTGTTTTTATTTTTTATTAAATTCATGAATAAAAAGACAACTCTGTACATAGCACTAGCGAGCCTTTGACAAGTCATTCTATTTATTAAAGAAAAAAAGATGTTTTATTTTGACAGAATGAAAGAATTGTATTGAATATGTCAAAAAGTTCTGGGGTTTCGGGTTTGTTGACCGGCTTTAAATCTTTATAGGTGCCAATTGAAAAATGATTCGAGAAATCTAAAGAATTAATAAAATACACATAGTATTTGCTGAGTGACACTCGAAGCTTGGCCAAATAATTAAAGTAAAAATCATCAAAAAGATTTGTAATTAAAAAGTATATTTAATTTAAATATTTACCTATTCAAACCATCATCATGCAAATATTTTCTCAAAATTTTATGTTTATCATCATTAATATCATCGTCATCAAGAACTAAGTTAAATATCGCAGAGTCAATTTTATTTAAGGCCTCGCTGTTTCCACCTGCTTCCAAATAATCACGTTGTTTTGCCCATTCATCTCTATTCTGTGTAGTTAATATACCTAAGGGATGTTCAGCTTTAGGTGCATTATCCTTAATTATTTTACTTAAGTTACCAAGCATTTCCAAAGGTGATATAAGGTTACCTGAAACCAATCAAGTAATATAAAAAAATGACTCATATATTGTAACTCACATAATTATGACAGTACAATCAAAATTTATAATGATGCGATTTTGCTTAGCCTTTGTGACAAAACAATAGAATATTCATCTGCAATGTTGTTAGTTGTTCAATTAATTTTTGTATATTTGTGGGCAAATATTTGTATATTTTTATACATTAATATATCTATTGGCATAGTTCTGTGTTAATATGTATAATATGTAAGTATTTACAAAAATGCATATTGTATTGTACTGTAATATAAAAATATGTAATTGTGCTTAAAATGGCTACTTTATATAAAAGTGTTTTACTTACCATTAGCATCTAGTACATCAAAGATATAAAAGTTTCCATTCTTCTGAACAACTACATGCTTGCTCTTGGGATCTCTGAAGATTTTATCTTTAGTAGAACAAGGAATACGGGTTGCACCAAATAGTCCCACAAACTGACTCATGTCTAGAGGAAATGCTTTAAATAAATAAGCACCATACCTGGAAGAGAACAGGATGGTCACATTCTTGAAGATATAATGTTAATGAAGCTTTGCTTTATTAATTTCTTCTTTTTTTAAAATTTTTGTTGTTTAACTTGTTGCTGTAAGTGTAACCAGTATTAAAACACTTTAGTACATCCTTTTTATACTGTTTAGTATTCTTGTTATAATTATTTAAGTTAATGTTCAATTAGAAAGTAACACATTATTTCATTCAGGAATATTTTAATACTTGGACATATGCCCCATACCTTCTCTTACATAAACCCATGTAACATATGATGAACAAAGAATATATACTTTTGTAAATTGATTATAAATAAGTAATTTAATAAAAGTAAAAAAAAAAAGTATATTTTGTGCATCACTATGTATTTCTTTTTCAAAATGGGTCCATGAGTGTATTTAATTTAAAAATTTGTTCACCGAGTAATAATAATAGGGTTATTCACTCTAGAACTTTTCAGGAAATTTCTCTTCTCAGGACAAACAATGTCTATCATTGACTATGTCCACAAGATAACATAGATTTAGTCAATGTTAAGTGTTGACTAACTATGGGATATCCACACTAAAAAAAGTTAACAACACCTTATAAGCAATTAAATGAAATGATGAATGAGATTTCACTTTTACATACCATGACAAAGCCTCTGGTAACATTCCTGTAACTGTCCTAAATAACTGGGTGTCACTCTTCTTAGGATTTAAATGGTACACTTCAGGTTCTAAGATTTGATCTCGTAATGACAACATAAACCTAACAGCACTAATTAACATATTTGTAGATCTTACTAATTGATTATTATACTCGGGTCTGCTGTCATTCACAAAGACAATTAGTGGATTGTAGTTGACAGGAAGAGGAGATCGGTCACGTAGGTACAAATCATACCAGTATTCTGATATATAACTTGTGTGCTTATTCCTCTTATCCAGGGTAACGAGACTCTCTTGAAGTACTTTACCTTCTTTGTTTAGGAAGTTATGGGTTCGCTGTTCAGCTGTTTTGTATTGATCGTTACTGATTAAAGGCCGAATAGCTTTCAAATAACGTTCTCCAGTTTTCGCCAGTTCTGGTACAGGAAGTCGAGGTAAAGACTTTTGAAAATGCATTGTGGGTACTTTGCTTCTTTGTAAATATTGGTAATTAACGTCTCTTAAACTTTTATTTGTAATGTTTCTATGTTGAATAAACTTTAGGCAGACAGTGTTGTTTTGGGCTACTAATTTATTAGCACAAATCATTTTAAAAACTCTGCTTATCACTGACAATACGTATTAAATAATGTAATGTTATTATAAAGGGTATGATAACGAAATCATACACTGATTACATTTATTGTAAGATAAAATAAATAATAAATAAAACTTTTAGGTGACACTGTGACAGTGTTTAAACCCAAAACTTAAATAAATGTCATTATGTCATTGAACTGACTCTATTAGCGTAGAGGTGAGGCTAAAATTATTTCGAGAATGTTTTACTATTTTAACAAGGGTAATCGTATTAGTATCATGTGGTGAAAAAAAACTCCGAAAAATGAATACAATAAACATAGCCAATAATTAAAACAGTAATAAACTAGTCAACCTACAAAAGTAGTTCAAGATTCAGTTAGCCTAATGCTTGCTGTATCTTAAACTGTTTTTGTTTAAAACATCTTTTGCCTATCTTGTCACTATTGTAGAAAGCGATGTGATTCAATGCACGCCTAGACATCAAATACTTAGGAGCTTAAATGAAGTCTGACTGATTGGTACAACTGATTTCACAGTTTTGTATAGCACACCGTGTGGTAATATAAACCTTCCAATGCGCAATACATTAATTTTGTAGTTTTTAAAATTATTTGGCCTTTATTAAAATTATTAGAAATTGATTGGCATTATTAATACTAGTAACTTGAAGGATGTAAAACATGACATAGTTACAACAACTAAATTAGTTAGAACTAAGTAAACACATGACCTCCATACTAGTAATGCGCAAAATGTATCACTGAGCTGAAAAGATTGATATATATCATTTCGCTCAAAAGATATATATCACTTATCTGGCTCAATAGCTCATTTAGCTCACTAACTCGTTTAGCTCACTAGCTCATTGATCCGATTCAATTGATTGGTCTCTCAATGAATTCATTTCTTCATCTAGATCGTTTAGCTCAGTGTACTCGTATATCACTCACTTTAAGCCTCTCTCGCCATACAAACCTTTATTTATTTTCATATTAACCTAAATTCAGTTTTTGAAACTACATTTTAACCAATTTTTTTAAATACAATTTTATTCATTTTGATAAGATTACATAATTATTAACACCCTTTTACATAATAATTAAAAATAAGAAATTATTTCTTGTACTTTTTTTTAGGTTGTATAATAGAAATCATACATCAATTTGATTTTCCTTGTACTTGGCTTAATTCTTAAGTAATATTAAACTTGATCCTATAGAAATAATGTACATTTTGCATAAAGAAACTTGCGTGAACTCAACCATCATCTATCTCACTCATTTATCTTTAGTCTCACTCGCTCATGAAACAAAGATTTAGTGAGCTAGTACTGAGTTACTGATATATTCGGAGCTAGTGTGAGTGATTGATACATTTTATCGTCGTGAATGATTTATATCTTTTATATCACTCACTCAGGAGCTACACAACTCTACTCCATACGACGACATAGATAGGTCATAGACAGACGTCATATTTGTGACTTAAATACTACGACATATTCCTATAATGTGTGTGACGTTAGTTACTTACTTTTTTTCAACCCTTTTTATTTCGGAATTAGGAATTATTTACAAACTTTTTGACTTATTCATCTTATTAGATGGAATAAAACAGAATGGAGATTTTCACAGCCTAGGCCTAAGAATCAAATTTAAAAAAAAAAACCTTTAATAACTCTTTAAACATTCTCTTTAATAAAATAATATATATTTTTATTCTTATTAAAATACTATCAAAGAACATATTGTAGTCCCGTGTCTAATCTAAATGCAACATCCAATACCGGTCGCGTTGGCAATTTATTGTCACTGAAAGTATCCTCGTGAGCAATAAAAACATTTTGGAGGTCAATGTCTTGCAAATTTAAGAGAAAGTATCTTAATCCTGATAGTCTTACACGGCGTCTTTTTTTTTTCTGAAACGATTTAAAAATAGAGAGGAGGTTCACAGTTTTGTAAGCATTTGACAAGTGTTATGTAAGCTGGACGTCATATTTTTGAAAGCAACCGGTGTCAACTTTACTTCTCAATGACATCAGAGATATGTCATCCTGACGCCAGTTAAGTCACAAATATGTCAATTAGAACTCATATTAACGTAATCTGTCTTACGTAAGAGTCTTACGTCAGGATGTGTATCATTTATGACTTATACATTACGTAAATCATGAAGATGCGTGACGTCATTCTGACATCAGTTTGACATAAGTTGTGTTCACTAGGAATTATGATATTCAGAGTTTTCTTGAGCAAATAAGCTTATTATCTCACACACTACCGTCTGATCCCAAACTAGGCAAAATCTTTATGATGACTAGATTGCTGATAAACCAATTTTTATATATTTCTAAACATATACACATTATAGATGAATTACACCCCGACGCAAGAAAAATGATCGTACTCATCACACAACTATTTGTCCTCGGTGGAAATCGAATCCAGGACTCCAGCTTAGCAGTTAGGGTCAACAGGCCAGGTCCCTCTTAGATTTTGTGATTATTGAACCTCAACCTTTACTCTTTTAGCTACCTTTTTTTAAATTAGATCCATTTCGTTAAATATCTAACGCTTCTCAAATGTCAATCAATTAAGATTGCTACTGTTTATAAATGTATTAATATCCACAGTGAGATACGCATATAACATTTTGCTAAAGGTGGCTGATAATTTGTTTTTTTTGCAAAATTTGCAAATTTTTGCATAAAGCAATACAAGCTGTTCCTGTCAGAATAACAGTTCTGTTAATCTTATGGTAAGTATAATATAAATATATATATAAGGAATCAGGCAGTAATAAGATATTTATTTTTCAACATAATTCTAATAGAGATTGATATTTATAGTAAACCATACATAACATTTCGATACAAGTATTAGGTTCCGTGTAATCTAATACGTTAACAGAAAGACCTCATATTAAATGCGCATCTCTACTTCAAAACAGTTATATCTAAACTTCCTTATATGCCAGTCCAAAGGTCACTATTCAATTTAGTATACGTGTGCTGTAAGACGAGCCTACTTAACAAGAAGCTGGATTCGACTAAACCATTCGTTTTAATTTACAAAACTGGATATATATTTTCAGTGTATTGCAGATAAACAGGAAGCTCTTATCAGTGGTACCTACTTTTATGTAGTATACAAATACAGCACAATTTTTACAATATGTGAAATTACCAGTGTTGTAAACCACTTGTGTGGTAATAGATTGGAGGCTCTCAAGCTTTTATTTCTCCTTGGCCACTTTTAAAATTGTTGGGTTTCTTTGAATCAGCTGTAGATACATTTCTACCATATCCCCGAAATTGTTCATAAAATGTGAATCTATATGTGATAATCTAATGATGACTTAATTTTTCATAAACATGCACCTTTAAACTAGTTAGAAGACTTCATCATTTTCGTTTCATAATTGTACAAATAAACTGGTATCCAAGGCTTTGGTTCTCATTTAGTTAACTGCTGTAAATCATTTAGTTAACAGCTGTAAATGAAGTAAATCGATTTGTGCAATATGCAAAATGCAAATTTATGAAACGCGCAACTTAGGACTTGTAGTGGATTCAGAGCTGCTTTACGAAAAGCATGTGGCAGAGGCCATTCGAAATTGTTTCCACCGGCTTAATGTGTTGGACAGGGCACGTCTATACTTAGCGGAAGAGCTGCGCATATAACTTGTCGAGTCTTTAATTTTTATAGAAACTTAATTACGCTGATAGCGAATGATACAGAGACTCCAAAACGCATGTGCTCGCTTCTGTACTTTCTTGTACTTGTACTTTCGCGGGACCACATAACACCGTTTTTGAACTCCCACAATAATTTAAAAATAAAGGTCACTTAGCTAGTTTGGAATTATAACAATAGACTAGCCTGGCCAAACCGACATACGAATGGGACAGGAAGACTATGCTCTCAGCATCTGTCAATCCCATGATGCAGAACAGCAGCATTTAGAGGTAGTTTCCATTTGCAACAAATGTTGGAAAAAAAAATCCTTCACCAATAAGCAATTGTAAAAGTAGGACGATATTCAGGAGAAAAATGAAAGGATACTTGCTTTTGCATCAAAAAAGAATTTCAGAGTGTCCAGATTTCAACATCTAAATATTTAAATATTGTTTCTATTCAATTTCCTTGCTGAGCACCAACAGTCGCATTTTTTTGTTTTTATTGGCTTTTTTCCAATTTTACTTATTTTAGGTACTTATTGTTTAGTTTAGTTTTTGTCCTTTCCTCATTTTATTTTATTGATGTGTCGCACAAACATATATTTACACACATACACAATCTTAGACTTGAATGGTTTCGAGTTGATAACGTCCAGTCACATGGGCTGCCCCTGAAAATCATCGTTGGAAGGCACCTTAAGGATTAAGTTTCAAGAGCGCCTCCCCTTCTCCTGCGTCTCTCCAGTAGCCCAGCGCCCATAGGTAGTGTAGTCTCCCAAAGGAGGTCCCCCGTGTATGTACGCGCAGGACATTTCACGCCGACTAAGACCAGTCTCACTTGGGTACGTGACGGCTACGGGCCGCTCCTAGCATTTGCTTTTTAAAAGCGCGGCCACCACCTTCGCTTATAAACTCCCATTTAGAAGACGTCCATACGAGGACGTGGCGATTGGAGGGGAAATTCCGGTAACTTGAGACCATACTAAGGGCGGCATGAGGCGCTGGAAGGCACGCCAACCATGGAGCGTCTAACGGCTGGCACGTTGACCAGTGTGTGCTGAGCCGAATTCTAACTGCACTGTAGTGGTGACAGGCGCAACTCAATTTACTCCTAGCAATCGACTGCTGGTACCTCCCTAAGCAGACGTGCCCAAAAAAGGTCTGTGTTAGTCGGAAGGAAAGGGTCCCGTGCTGCCACTCTGCCTACTTGACGATAACCGGCTGGACCACCTCCACGGCGCCGAAGCCAGTATACGGAGCCTCCAGCCGGGACGACCAACGAGTCATCGTGGTTCGGCAAGTGGCTTTTAGCCACTCATTTCCGCCTCTAAATCCTATGTAAGCATGTGCATACTTACTGACACAGTTCGTTTTCTGTTAGGCATATATATTTTCTTTTCAAAAAATTGTGAGTGCCCCTAGGCACTTGCCTACTTTGACTTAAGATTAATCCGCCACTGCCTGTAAAGAAATTAGCATGTGCCTATAAATTTTCTTTCTTATCACTTATCACTCAAATATTCAGACACCAATATAGATCTAAAATTTTTGGGTTGATTGTGTGGCTTACTGAAATCGCGCCATGTGTCATGTCCGAATTACTTACTTTTCACTTGATTTCTTTGATAAATGCATACTAAATTACATGTACTACTTACTCTGTAAAAAATATGTAGACTGTGTTACTCTAAAAATATGGAACTTTGTTGTGGTTATGTTTTATTTTATATATTTAATAAATGCTTTTTTTTTGTATATATGTCGCTACCCGGTGTTATCTTTGTATGACACAGTATTATCCCAAACTAGGTGAGTCCCGTACTATAGTCAACATACTTACATATTTCTAATAACACACATATATATATATAAATTAATTGTCCGTGTGGTGACGGATTAAGAATACGGCATGTCACCACCCCTATTCATCCAGTGGGTGTCGTAAGAGCCGACTAAGGGAGCAAACTAGGACTAGGACGACAGCACTGCTAAGAGAAGGAAAACTTGAAACAAACCCTATACCAACCCGTTTGGCCAGCGTGGTATAGTAGGCCAAAACCTCCTTTCTAAGGAGAGGCTTATGTCCACCAGTGGACTGTTATAGGCTGTTGGTGGTGGTGGTGGTTGGTGGATATAAATTACACTGAGACACATGGGTTCATTATTTTAAGATATGTGACATGACATACAACATATTACAACTTCTAAATCTCATTTTGACCCCCGTCAAGTCTAGTCAATCCCTGGGGGGTCCACCTGAACACTTTGGGTTTCACTGAATTAGTTCAATGTCAACATTGTCATTTGTCAACCAATATGATGGTATGCCAAAAATAAGTAGCTTTTCTCGGGTTCTGTCAAGTTTTTCGCAGAATAATGCTGTTACCACACGTTATAACACATATAAAAATGTTTTGATAAAGTTAATATTCAAAATATTCGGCAATAAAATAATTGGAAATCGTGTGGTCAAAATCTGTAATCAAAATATCTTGAATTACGCCTTAAAAGACAAGATACGTCTACGAGGATGGACGAATCATCGGAGAATAGTGGCACTAATGAATTAGAGGCTTTGGATTATTTGCGCGGAGTAAAATCGTCAACGTGCTTACTGTTACCGACGACACCGAGCCCAACGCCCCTAGATTTCAAGCATCCTCTTTCAGAAGAAATGAGTGGCCCGTTTTTAACATTAAATGATGATCCAAATATGGTTAACATTCAAGCAGGTAAACATTTTAAAATCTACTATTTTTTTTCAACATTTCTTCGAATGGATTGTTTCTATAAAAATGTCTCTTAGATTATCTAGGTCGCCATTAAGTAAGTAGGTATTTCTGACTTGGCACAAAAGTTGAACATTAATTACTAAAGATGATATGGAATAATATATTATGAAGAAGAATAAATTCTTCTGTGAAACTTTTAATAAGCTGATGTGGTAAACATGACTGCATATTGTATGTTTAACAAATTTTAGATGTGGCAGGTGATTCCAGTTCATCAGGTGACTCGAACTCAGTGGTACAAGACCCAGTGAGTGCTCAGCTGATAAACAATATTAGTATGCTGGACTATCAAACCCTTAGTAAAAATGGAGATCTTATTATGGGACAGGTAAAAATCAAATTTTAACACTTGTATCTTTATAGTGTATGCTAAGAAAATGAATTCTGAATCCATAAATTTCATAATGAGGTTATTTACAAAACAGTTAGTTACAAACAAATTAGTGATACAAAAACGAAAAATATTTTTTTTATTAATTTTTTTTAAATATGCCACAAAAGAATATTTAAATTGTTTCAAGAGACTGTGGAAAGAATTTAATCGTCATCCTATACTTTTTGCAAAGAAAATTAAACAAGAGAAGTATAGGAACAGAATGAACAGACAAAATGATTTATTTTACTAAATTGGAAAAAGTTAAAAACAAACAGCAGTATATATTACTTTATTATTTTTTAAATTCCTAGTCTACACTACTGAAAACCAAAATTGCTGTCATTATTTCTAAGTTTTTAGAAGGTTTAAAAAACCATTTGATCCATGTTAAAAACTGATCTGAGAAGAAATGGAAAATATTGATCAGTAATAAAAGGTTTTTTGTACTTAATGCATTATGTTGGAGCAAAAAATGCTATTAAAACCAATGAGATCAGATGATCCACTATGGTCCAGGTATATAAGTGAAAATAGATCAATAAAATAATGAGTTACAATGTACTATGTACCAAAAAAGCCAACAAAAGATACAGAATAGAAAGAGAGAACAACTTGATGGCAGTGGGGCTAGCCGGTGAGGGTTACATTCTCATAGATGACAGAGTAATGCATGGAGATGTGACATGTTTTATTATTCTGCCTACTTGATTTCATTTTAGAAAATAAATGCCTTAGATATACTTTTGTATATTTTAGGCATAATATGTTGATCTAATTACCCTTAAAGGTTATAAGCTGATCAGTTTCAGCTACATGTTTCAAGCTAATCGTTGTGGGTTTGTTTATAACGGACTATATCAGATGTGTTCGGTGATTTCAAATAAATTACCTCAAATCATTGAACCTTATTAAAATAATGTTACCTATGTATTATAACCTACATCTGCACAAGGTCAGTTTAGCATATTTCTTTAGAAAACTTGAACCAGCATGTACAAAGTTTTTGTGGCGTGTTGGATGCCTAGTGGTAGCTAAGTTGTCATAGTAAATGAGTTTGCGCCATGAGCGTACCCACAGTGGGACAAAGTGGAGCGCTTGCCCCACTGGAGGGTGACCCTAACTTACATCCGTTTCTTTTAAGGCAAGGTTCCATTGCAACACCGAAATTTAGTTTGTCATAATATTATTCTGAAGATACAACAGTTTTGGTGTTCTATATGGAAGAAGATAGAGCTAAAAATTGAGCAATTAAATATTTGGTGAAGCAACATTCAATTGCTCCCTTCCATTTGTTGTCTTTTTAAACTATACACGCTGATTAGGTTGTAAGTACTGATAGTAGTTCGAGGGTTTCAATAACAGCTGTTCCTGCATCCCTCCTATTTCTGGCGCAGAGTGGGGCACTGTGTGTGTCCTGGGTTTTGGTTAGATTCGGACACACCGCCCCACCGCAAACACCGGTGGGGTGACGGCCCTAAGGGGTATTGTTATATAGTTGTGGGCTCCGGTTTTCGCATTTAGACTTAAGAATCTTTTGGCATCGAGGAAAGGTTATCTAGGTGAGCCAAACAAGGTCCTTCCAAAAACGTGAGAGGCCTCCTGGGGAGTTCACAGGCTTCTAGGAGGCTTCTGTATCAGATATGATACTAGTCCATTGAGTGGTCAATCCCTCGCATTCCAGGGTTACGTGAGTTTTGCCACTAAACTAGATGGCGTTGTGTGTCAGATGCCCGATGGAGGATGTGGAGAAACGGATGACGTGTCCCTCCAACACAAAGGGAGGATCCTCTAACCAGGCGATGTGATCATGCCTGGCGGACCGCGGCCCAACGGTTGATGTTGGGAAGTTGTATATATGCTAATCGGCGAGATAATTCTTCATATCGCGATACAGGATTAGCAATTCTCATTCCGGAGTTACTCCGTAGTGCGGTGTGTCTTCGATAGGTGGCGCTGTAGTATGTTTCTACTTAGTTTGAAACTAGATGGCGTTGTGGGTCAGATTTCCGAAAAATATTAAAAAAATACATATATACATACATATATTGTTATTATATATACATACATACATATATATTCGCATTGAAATATGGTTCTGTGTTGGCCAAACGCTAATGATATGTTTAGGTCTTGTGAGAAAACTCCGGCTCGACTTCCTGACCCAGAACCGTCCGTGTAATCTACACGTTTCATGTATCTGAATCCCAAAACACCATATCTTCCCAAAGAATACCATCCCTTTGTGAAGATATGGTGTTTTGGGTTCTTATCGCATGGGACTGCTATTATAGGTTGTTACTGTCCGTGTGGCGATGGATTAAGAATATGGAGTGTCACCACCCCTATTTATCCCGTGGGTGTCGTAAGAGTCGACTAAGGGTGCAAGCTCTGTTGGATAACGACACTGCAAAGAGAAGGAAAACTTGAAACAAACCCTATACAGGTCTAGTGGTGTCAGACTAAGAACCACATCAAGGGCGGTTGTTGACCACAAGGTCAACAACCGCCCTTGATGTGGTTCTTAGTCTGCACACAAGTGCATACAGCTAGCGACCGCGGAGAATGGGAATCGCTGAAATTGCTGCAGTTTTTTTATGACTGTTCTCTTTGCTGAGATAGGCTAGAGCTAATAACCTAGAGTTATTTTTACTTAAAAGTTGAACTCTTATCTTTTCTTATGTTTATGTTAGGGTTGTCTGTTATGGTATGCTCAGCATACACCAAAAAAATTATGTAGTTTAACTAACAATTATTTAAGTAAAATTTAAACATTCTTATAAAGTAAGCATGTAGAACAAAAATATTTATGTTGTAAATGGAAAATAGTATTTATATATTTTGTTTTGAAAGAGGTGGATCTTAAAGTTTATGTGTTTCTCAATGATAATGGTATCATAGTGCGTTCATCAAGTTTATGTAGTCTACGCAATTGAAATACATACCCAACTAAATAATAGAATTAAAGACCGTTTTTATTGCCTGGGTTATAGAAGGTAGAGGCGAGGACAACCATCTCTGTGTATGAAAGTATCCGTAAAAACATGTCAAAAAGGTAGCGCTGCGGTAGCTTAGGAAAAATTTATATCAGCTTAAATAATAATTAGAGGCTGTGTATTAAACTGTGAAAATAGATAATGAGTGTTACAAACAATAAGTAAACGTGTAATAATAACTTTTAGACAACAAAAATAATATAATATTTAGCTCGGCACACTTCACTCCGTCCTCAAACTAGATAATAAAGTTAACTTTTTGATCTTCAAAAGGTCATCAAAACTTCAAGCTTTTATACTATATAATATATTTTTATATATACGAACAAAAAAAATATTTTTGATGACCTGTGGCAGTGTGAAAATCTTGAAGTCTTGATTCTTATTATTATTCAAGCAGCCAAATACGATTCAATATTTTGTTTCTTTTCTTCCTTATTTTTGTTAAGAAATGTTTACTATTACGTATAGCGTGGTACGTAAGTGACTAAAGATCGACGCGAGAGTATCGAAATACCTCAGTGTGAGAAGAGGAAAAGTCAATATTATAATATTACATTTTTTTACTTTCTAATAAGTAATCTTCTTATCTTCTTTAACAGTAACACCAACAAGCTAATTATTAAAAAGAAAAAAACAAAATCCCGGCTACGTGAAAGTATAAAATTTATAAACCGACGATTTTAATTTTTATAACATTCGTATATCCAGTGTCACACACAGTTAATATGAATCTAACAACACTTAAACGGTCAAAATCAATCAAGCCGTACTCAAGAAATATACAATACATACATTTTCACATGACGATTTCAAACATTGAAATTTTTTTATGAAATAAAGATAGTTTGAGCTGCACTAGAAAACACTCCTTCTGACGCAGTCGGATAAAAAGGACAGTCTATGTTTATCTGTAAATCTGTGTTTGACTGATTTTAATATAGTGTTATTTGTTTGAAAACTGACTTGTTCGAGAGTGGGTCGGTACACATGGGTGTATCGACCCACGATCTATCGATAAGCTTACCTTTTTTGTTTTGAATATTTTAAATTAAGTCTAAACTTGTCTAGTAAAACCATATCTCTATCTTTTCAGACAGAAGATTGTAAGCTAAATGGAAATCATATTGCAAATAACAGAAAACTGCCAAGCTTTGTCAACTGGAACTGGAATGTTATACGAAAAGTACTGCTATGGATTGTTTGTTCTTGTCTTGTGGCCTGTCTAGGTGCGATCATAGCATTAGTTGTTACAATACCAAAAGAATGTAACCCTAATTTGCCTTGGTACCAAGGTAAGGTTTTTTACGAAGTCTTTCCTGCTAGTTTCAAAGATTCTAATCATGATGGTATTGGTGATTTGAAAGGGCTCATAATAAAACTTGATTACATTCAGGAATTAGGTGCATCTGCTATCAGATTAAATAACATATACGCAGCACAGAAGTATCCTGACCAATATTATAATATTACTTCTTTAGTAGAAATTGACAGAAGTTTAGGTGTCCTTAAAGATTTTAAAGAATTGGCAGCTGAAATACATAAACGAAATATGTCAATAATCCTCGATGTACCTGTGATTTCTTTGGCAAAACCTTTGTCATCTACAGGAAATTTTACTGAGACTTTGTTAGTTTCTGACGAAATTGGAAAAAGGTACGTTGATCCTACTTCTGCCGCTCTTATATTTTGGAAAAAATTAGGAGTTGACGGGTTCTATTTAAAAGGCTTAGAACGTTTTGTTGACGAGTTGGACTTTGGCAGAACTCTACAAATATGGAAGCAATTAATTGCAAATAAAATATTGATTGCAAGTGAAAGTGCTTTGGACAAAGCTAAAGATGATTCTCTAAACGTTTTGCTGTCAAGGATTGATCTAATCGACATACATTTGGATTTACAAGAAGGTATTAATGGCTTAAAAAGACATATTGATAAAGTCATTGGTGGTATTCTATGGGGTAAACCTCATTATCCATGGGTTCACTGGAATATTGGCAGTGTAGAAAATGAAAGAATATCTGCAAAAAATGATAACAATACTTTAGCTTTGACGGCTCTTGAATTTGTACTGCCTGGAACTGTTAGTATTTTTTACGGCGATGAGATTGGTCTCGGGGGACTCGAAAACGTTGAGGGAGATTTCCATGAACATAAAGACGTTCATAACTTAGCGCAAATGTCTTTTTCTGATGGTGAAAAACCTGCGGGAGGTATTTTGCCTTGGAATGGAAAATCTGCTGTAGATCCAAACTATAATTTTCTTAAAGTTATTAAAGAAATGACAAAGGTAAGGTTAAATACTCCAACGATATATTTGAATGCTATTTACAAAGAGGGCAGCGTACAAAAGAATATAGAACTCCGTAAAATGGAAGGTAATCTTGTTGTTATTGAGCGATGGTTCCCCCGTAGAAACACTTGTGTGTTTGTTGGGAATTTTGGTAACAGTTCTATTACAACTGATTTGTCCTCGATGTTTTATGGCGGTACAGTGATAGCTGGTACAAACGTTTCTCTAGTCGGGCAGGTGTTATATTTTGAACAAGTAACATTTCCCGCAAATTCTGCCATAGTATTAAAGTTAGAAAAGTAAGTATTTTTCATATTGTGTAGTTTGGAATCCATTACCATTGTACCGTTATCATTGATATAATACTTACATAGATGAGTAATTACCGCCTAAAATCGTTGCCACTGCACATCTGTCCACAGGCATATGCGTAGCAAACGTCAATTCAGTGTTCAATGTGGCGTCAACCGAGTTGAACATAGCGACACATGACAGTAACAATCGCCAAAATGCGTAAATGCGTAGTGAAAGAATGCGATTCAAGGTCACAAAACATTAATAAATCATGCGAAATTACTTTTCACGTGTAAGTGTATGGTTTTTGTATTGATAATATCGTAAATAAGGCTATAATTGAAATAAAACACTGATAATTGTAATTTAGAATCAGTGTTACCATTAAAAAATCATTTTGGTTTTCCCACATTAGTGGGAGTATTTATAATTTATGAAATAATATGCTTTATACTGTTTTTAAACATTTTGCCAATAATAATAAAATATAGGAAGAACGGTAGTTGTTAGGGCTGGACCGATCACTTTTTTTAGGGACCCGTTGAACGTTCACTGCGAGCTTGGCAGAAGTGCCAAGCTCGCAGTGCTGGAGACTTTTGTACAAAAGAATTAATTCATTGTTTTTCTTAATTTATTATCAATTTTAAATAAAAATTGTACAAAAAAAAAAATGTTTATCATAAAAATAAAAAATAAAAATATAAAATAAAAAAGTAAATAAATATAATTTTTTTTTTTTATAAAATATAAATAAAAAAAAATAAAAAATAGGTTTTTTTTTGTTTTTTAAAGTATAATAGAATTTACAATACACCCTGGGGATTATTTATTATCAGTACAAGTTGATCATTCACTTTTATTATTAAATGCTATTATTTTTACATACGTAAAAATAAGATTGTATCATGAAAGTAAAATATCCACACAAACTTATAAAAAAGAGTCTAAAAGACAATTGTATACAAAACTGATGCTTCACAGCGCAGTTTGATTTGACACTGAATATAAACCCTTTTAACCAAATATTTCCAGTTATTTTATTATTTATACCTATTCTATTCAATTCGAAATATATTATATTAGAATATTTAAATTAATTTATTTTATTACAAAATTGTTGTAAAAAAAAAATGTTTCTTAGTTGTTATGGGTAAAATTTCATACGGTAGTCAACACTGGCCCACCATCGTAAAGTTATGTCTTTGTCTTTGTCTAATCCGAGCGATGGTATTGTTCTTGTCTCGCGTGTAAATGAGACATAAATATGTTTACTTTCAAATGTTTAGTGGTATCAAAGCTACGTCGTCAAAGTTCAAAAGTGGTTACACTTTTTTCGACGTGTGATGATGAGGTTTGCTTCTCTAGTGTTGTTTTAACTCAATGACCGTTATACAGAAATAATACTATGCCAAACGTTTGATCATGTCATGGTTGTTCACATATTGCAATTTATGAAAATGCGTCTCTTACATTTTTTGACAGAAACCCCCTAAATTGACCTATTGTAGCTGTAACTAATGGAAAATGTACTTTTAGTGTAAAGACAGACAACAGATAACCTATAAAGAACTAGTTAATTTGACTCATGTTATTATATATTTTACATTTTAAGTTGTAACATTAGCATCTTCATAAATTGCAAGAATTAGAATTGTTACTTTATTATGTAATCTCATATTCTTAAAGTAATAATAATTATTATTAAAGTAATTAGCAATAGGACAAAATAACTAATGAATCTCGAGCTTCCGAATGGAGTTGATTTCGTTATGTCTAAAGTGTATTGACTATGCAAAATTAAGCAAAACTAGTTATGTATGAAATTTTATTGTTTGTAATATTTATAAGCGTAAAACGTTTGTATTTATTGACATTTTTTCCAAAGCAAATAATATGAATCTGGTCTCTAAGATTTTAAAATCCTCGTATTGTTGGTCTTACAAATGACCAAATTTGTTCCTTTTATTTAGTATATAAATTTTATATATACGTTGCTATACATAAAATATGGAGAGGCTAAAGTTTAACCTTAAAGAATAGTTAAAAATGTACAGGAGTAAATTGAAAAGTTACCTAAGTGATTTTTATTTATTGGTGACAAATACATCACATATGTGCATCAATAACTTTCATTCAAAATAAAATAAAAATCAAATCGATTGGATAGAAGTCCTGGACTGATTTCTGATATATTTCATAATTTTATTATTGAAAATTTAGGGAGATTTTGCTTATTACTGATTTAAGATTCAAAGTTTCTTCAACGATATCAGGAAGACTTAATTTTACCATGTTTATATATTTTTGACGTAATACGATTATTGAGGTTATACTTTTATCTCAATTTTTGAATTTATTGTTGAAATCAACACGTCCTAATTAAGAAACTGCTACGTACTTCGAATCTATAATAACATGGTATATGCCATTTATTAGATGCACCTGTCACTTTTAGGTTAAATTTTAGGCAACGCATGTATACTGCGCCTGCGTAACAATAGTTTATAGTTATCTATTATTCAGTATTTCGAGTTCCTTTATTCCTAAACCAAAGATAAGTGCTTAAAATATGTTTTTAATTCTTTTGAATATTTTTTGTCTAATTTATTTGAGAAAAAGAAAATGATATTTTTGCTGACTTTAAAAGTAATTGGCACTGTATTCATCATGATATTCTTAATCTACCCATTTAAGTATTATAGTGTATATTATTTGTTTACAAAAATTGTATAAAATCTTTTTCGATTTAACTTATATGCCCTTTTGTTATGATTTTTTTAAAGGAAATACTTATTATTTAAGTTAGTATTTCACTGTGGTTCTGTTGAAAGAATTTCAGTATTTCTTAAGAGTTTGATTTAAAAGCAAAAAATATATTAAGGTTTAGCAGAGGTAAGTAGTTCCCATGCTAAATATTCGCGATACCCATCTATACTTTTGAAATCGCGAAATATACTTATAAAATAAAATAATATAAACTCAGTTACAATAAATTTAATATACATTTGTACATATTTATAACAAATATCATGTACTTAGTATATTCATTATTATGTACACATTTTGTTTTTAAGTAAATAAATATTTGTTGAAATTATTACACTTTTATTTATTACAATTACAAGTATTTATTTTTCATACACATAAATATAACATGTAATATTTCAAATCGAGTATTTCATTACAAAAATAAAGTTTTACAATAAATCCCTATTGTAAAGTGAACTTTGTGAAATTTATTACAACAAATGGATAATTTTGTCTTAGTGATTTTATGGAATTCTTATTTTCTTAATATGTATAGCTTTAACGAGCAAGGCACAATTAGTATCACATATTTGTTATATATAATTTTAGATTTGCAACATTCTTAAATACACATTAAGAGATATTGTTATGTTTTATGAAGGGATTTTCATTCTCTTATAGTTACATACATACATATAGCGTATCACACTGTGTGAGTAAGTTATAAAGTTAATTTGGCAATTTATTATTACTTTATGGGCCTAACGGCTTTTGTATTGTTTTACAAGTTCAATGGCTTTTCATTTTGTTTCTGAGCAATTTAAAGTTTATACCTGTTAGTTATACATTTTTTAAGTGTCTTGTTGAAATAAAATTAAGCAGAGGTTAATTCCCTAACATTATGAAATAGATTAATACAATTTTGTGTGATGCTTTGTAAATATCTTCAGTTTATTAATGGTCGTGACGTATCTTAAAATATGTATAACAATAATAAAATTATTACATAGAAATGTAAATGTGTATGAAGTTGTCTAAAGTTGGATCCACATTTGTATATTTATCTATGAAAAGTTAAGTAAAATATCTTGTCCTGTATAAGATTAAGTCGTTAATACAAGTGTGATTCCAATGTAATTGTGGTGGCATTAAGTTCAGTCTTTATATCGGTGGATGAAGGAAATAGCACTGGAAGGATTCACAAGTAGTAGTTAGATATTAATAATAATGTCATGAGCTCGGTTGGAGCTTTTTACTTTTAGGTACGGTTGGATGCATGACATATGTATTGGACAATGCTCTTGGCGTATGTGTTTCATTAACCGGTAATGCTGGAAGCTTATCTGTAGGGTTTCGTATTAAAATTTTTTTTTGAGACCCTGTAGTTATCTTCTTATCATTACACTCAGGTTTGTTCTTAAGATCTATGTTATCGGTGGTGTATGGAACAGACTTTACACACTTCCGTTCACTTTCACAGTCACTACCTGCTTGTTTTGTTAACTTTTGAGCACCAAATGCTTTAGTTTGTTTCAACAACGACCGGTCGTTACACAGTGCCGCTATTAAGGGCAAATCTAGGTTTTTACTTTTCTCTCGAAGAGTTTTAATGTCTAAATCACATTTTGAGTCTTTCACTTTATCATTCACGTCACAATTCACATTTAGGTTGCTGGGGGGAACATTCACTTCCCTTGAATGAGCCAAAAGTTTTTTTTTATACTCGTATGGAGGCGGAGGAGGTGGAGGCATTCTTCTAATTTTAACTGGGGGCGGGTCTTTTGTATTCAAAACATTTTCATCTGAATTTGTTCGTAAGAAATGTGTATCTGGTACTCGTGCCGACAAAGTTGGCCTTTCGAGATTTATGGAGTGATTACTCAGTGATGTTCTACTTGTTAAGGAGTACCAACTCGTCCGCGTTCCTGGTAACTGCACGTAAGAATCCGAGAGATTTTGTATCGAGCCATACATGGACGATGCAGACAAGGATGTGGACAAATAAGGCGTGCTTCTATATTGAAGACCATTTTTGTGCATATTTGAAACCCTCGTTTCAGTTAATTTGTGGTCAAGGTAGTTTTGTTGGGAAACAGCTGGGTCTTGCATTGGATAGTAGACGTAATCAACATCACTATATAACTGTTTGTGAAACATAGGATTATGTGGTGGAGGCGGCGGAGGCAGCCGAGTTACAGGCGGTGGTGGAGGAAGCCGCACCCGCCTCGGTGGTGGAGGGGGCGGCGGTAATTTCATCATTGCTACAAGCACATTAGAATCAACAGCATGAGGTGGCACATCTCTCGATGGTGAGAGACTATTAGTGATTCCTTGCGCTAATTTTGATCTTTCTGCTCTCCGACTAGAAGCTTGGTGTCGTTTGACTTTCTGAAATTTATGTTCTAACACCATGGGACTAGCGAATGTTCTTTCGCTTGAGGTATTGACTTCGCCTGCTTCTGCTTTTAGAATAGTTATCATTGGTTTTGATGTTACGACTCTAGCTGCTACTTCTTCTTTTTCGTTTAACTGTTTTAAAGGTGATGACAATGTTGTGCCCGGATAAGCTGGCGGCGCTTTTGTTGTAGGTGGCAAATATGATGAAACAGTTCTGTGATTATATTCATAGGGAGGCGGTGGTTTGTCAGGAAACGAAGGTCGAATAGGTGTATCAGCATTTATATCAAAAATATTTGGCAACGATAAATTGAGCAGTTTGCGGCTATCAATTCTAGTCGGGGGTGTCGGTGGACTGTCAAAGAAAGAGTTATTTGGATAGTGATCATCAGAAGGAGCCGTGTCCTCATGCCCTTGTAGATAACTGTCACCAGAAAAAGGTAACGGTAATCTGACGTAATCTGATACAGAGTCTAATGTGTCACTAACAGATTGGCTTTTCGGATATACTCCTCTGCCCACAATTAGGTCACTTAGTTCACTTGCAGTCAGTAAGTTATGTTTATTATCTGTTGGATCACTTCCATCACCGTGAAATGACATAGCACTTACATTTGAATTAGTTCTTTCTCTGAATATATTTTCTTTGTCATGCTGTTCTTGGTTTGAAAAATTTGTCGTACCATCAACACAATCTGTACTAGAATGAGACGCTTTTAGTCTTAATGTATTCGTTGAATGACTAGTTCTTTCTAATTTATTTTTTAATATTGATGAAACACTGTCGAAGTCAGCAAGATCATTTTCCTTAGCGGGTTTATAGCTGTCGTAGTGTGAGCTCCCGTAATCTGTCCTATTGCCTTCAAATAAGGTGTCCATTTTAGATCTTGCAGTAAGTTCGGAACTGCTCATGGTGTAGACTCCGCTGGTCTCGCTTGATGCGGCGACAGTCACTGGTTGCCCTAAACCATCATACAGAGCCGATGCTGCATCTTGAGAATATTCAACATCTATTCCTACTGTACTATTGTCACTAATCATAGAGTTTTGAGCGGTATGGCTATATCCTAATTCTAAACTGCTTGTGTTAGATGTTCTGCTTAATGTACTTAAACCCGTCCTAGCCATTATGACCGTACTACAAGATGAGGAACACTGTGAACCAGTACATTTTAACTTATTTGACCTTGGACTATCTGTCAAAGCTTCTGTAATACTTTGATCAGGTAAAGAAGTAGTTTCTTCTGACTGATTATTAGAATGTGGTTCTAATAATTGAATTTCATTTCTACTTGCAGATTCACCATCTTCTTTATTTTTTTTTACACGAACTTTAGATCTTTGCAATTGTAATGACGATGTTTTAGTTAGGGGTTGATTATCCTGAGGTTTATGACAAATAAAGTAAGAATTGGAACTGTCAAGCAAATGAGCAAAAGCTAAACTTTCCGTTGAAGGTGCTGGAGGAGAATCTATCATAATTTCTAATTCATCTTCAGATTGAACTCTGTCGCTAACGATTCCTGAAGTTGTGTTCGAACTTGTAGAAGATATTACGGATATTCTCTGTTCACTTTTATTTTGATTATACTGTAAATTTAGTGATTTTGAATATCCAAAGCAATTTTTTCGTTCCTCTTCTTCTTTTCTAAGTATTTCGTTAAACTTAGGAGCAATTTTCATTGAAAATTGATGTGTCTCCTTGCAAAGAGCAAAAAGATATTTGCACTTTTCTTCACTTGATGAAAACAGTGTAATTTTGCCTTCTTCTGTCCTAATCTCAAATTTTTTTCTATCAAAACTCAATTTACCAATTGCACTCCAAATAAAAGTGGAAAGTGGTCCATTATCAGGTAAAATTTTAATACCTTTCGCTGTGACGAGAAGCCACACCGTCCCGGGTTCGGGTTCGGTTTTAGACTGTTTTAGGCGGTATCTATGTGAATTTATTGTGTCAGGGAGAAGGCAGACTTCCCGTATAAATCTGGTTTCAGCGTCGGACTTTGAGAGGCCTTTGTGTTCTCGATGACATGCACGCATCGCTGCCGATACCCAATCACCAGTGAGAGATACAGGGGCATAATCCTCGGCTCTAAAGTAGTCTCTATCTTCATAACTGTCGGCGTCACCATATTCTGCTTGTAACGCTAACCCGGTAAGTAGTAGAAATACTTCGGCTGGAAGCGCATCCCGTGAGCGCAAATTTTGTCGTAACTGCAGGAAGTACAAATGACGGCCAACCTCATCGTGCAATAAAAGCGGGCTCTCCACATGAAATTGCACGACTAGATGCAATTCAAGAAGCGGCTTCCCATTCGCGTCCAAACCCTGCAAATAGAAAAAAAACTAGATTTATAGTTCTGCTGAGTTAGATACGAACGTATATTTATATAGGCCGTATATAAATAAACTAGCTGACCCGCGCAACTTCGTCTGCGTCTCTCAATAGTAATAAATTTTCTCCGTTTTTTAAAACATTCTTCATTGGTGCTCAGCTCCTATTGGTCTTAGCGTGATGATATATAGCCTATAGCCTTCCTCGATAAATGGGCTATCTAACATTGAAAGAATTTTTCAAATAGGACCAGTAGTTCCTGAGATTAGCGCGTTCAAACAAACAAACAAACAAACTCTTCAGCTTTATAATATTAGTATAGATGTCGAACAATCGACAACATACAAGAAAGCAAGGAAATCTAATCCAGCACTTCAATAATTGATTTTTCGTGGCAATGGATTATTGTTATATTCAACAATTGTAAAGTAAAATGATACTACATATAAGTTTTTAAAACTTATATGACGTACAACTGTTATTAGTTTTAATTACTCACGTGTGTATGTGATGATCTCCAACTCTTTGGCGCATACTTTGATAGTTTGCTGTCTAAGTCAACAAACAAGTACTCTCCATCTGAAATGGATTTTATAAATTTCATAATAATGTAAGCGAAATAATCATAAATACCTATTATGAAGTCATATTTTTAATAATTATTTCCAGCAAGCGTTGTTTTAGTAGAGGTATGCATATAAAAAAAAAACAACAATGGAGTTGCTTACAAGTTCACGATAACCACAATTTTTTTGAACTGTATCGCAACGCTTGACAATATTATTAAAAAAGTATTTAAGAGTAGGTACATATAAGAGTCATTTCTATATATATATGTAGTATATGCACAGTATAGGAAAACGCGCAGACTGTATAGGAACACAGTATAGGAAACGGTTACCTGATAATGAAGACAGTACTTACTAGTAGTAACATCGTAATGTTTTGGCATTATTAGGTATATGTGAGATAGGTATAGATAGTGTTTTTTAAAATGTGACATTGTGATATCCGTACAAATATAGCACAAGGATTACCCAACTGCCTATGTTTGCATAGTCAGACAGTGAATGCTTATGAGTTAGAATGCGTGACGCCTTGAATACATAATAATTTTGCTTTGTGAAATCACTGTGTGAATATTTAGAAATTAAGGTAGTTACGAAATGTTGCTTTGTAAAGTTATGGTGAATACTGTGATACTTACTTTGTAAGACTGCTAGACCGAAGAGATCGGTGTCGGTCATGCCTTGTAGTTGTGTGTGAGCACTGGCCAAGCATTTCAATTCCTTGGCCCTCGCTTTGGCTTCGACAACGAAGTGGAGGGGTTGGGGTTGTCCGGGCATGCGCAGGGACAGGAATCGCGCGCCCGCGCCGAGAGCGCGCGTGTCGCCGCCCAACGGCCCGCGAACCGAACACAGAGCACGCATGTCGCATCTCGAGACCACTGTTACTCGCACTAAAACAAACCAATGTTACTATTAATAACGTACAGGGACATAATATGAATACATGGCAATAATATGCAATTATGTACGTCATGTTATGTATTCATCTTGGTGCTTACCTAAAAACAAATAATGATCAGATTTCTTGTTCAATAGGTACCTATGATATGGTATATATACAATCATAGTCTCTATACAACTTCTGAGAGGAAAAATCATATTACACCTAAAAGCCTATTTGTTAAGTTTTTATAACTATGAGTATGTAATAAAATATTCTGAAATTTCTTGCATGAAGGTCCTCCATCCTTTAGAATGTACTGTTTTACACCTCTGAGAGATTCGTTTGGATTAATGGTCATTGATGACGCAAGTTGGACCCATTTATGTTTGGTTTGTGTTCTTCTTTATGACTTACGTTAGATTGTTTTAAAAAAGAATCAGTAAAAAGTGCAATGCGGACGGCGCTCGCAATTTTATGAGCTCACAACTAATAAAACGTGCAAACACTCGTAAACTAAAATGTGGATTTAACTAACTAGCAACTCAGATCACACATGGAGTAATAATCTTGTTAACACCTCCAGCTATGCTAATTGCGGGATTCGAACCCCCAACTTCTTGACCTCAAGACCAAACCTTAGCCACAATACTACCGCCTGTGGCGTTATACATGGCATTAGCAACAATTTTTTTTATTGCATCTGTGTTGTCAACTCTGATTAAACTCTGCAACAATTTTTATCTTTACTTGCTTTAGTCGATTTACATCAAGGTAAAAAAAGCATTTCTTATTCTTAAGATCTATTTTCTTACGCAAAAATGGTAAGGATAAAGTGTTCTTTACAGGAAGGTAGTTTATATATCTATTATCTATTCATAGCTAAATAGCTTTCTCTAATTCAGACAATCGTTGATTTTCTCTGTTATAGTAAAAAACCTTTCTTATTCCAATATAGTACGCATAGAGTTAGTTTCTTGGGCACTTGGGTATGTTCTAACGCATGTGTAGCTGATGCTGTCAACGAGATCGTTAATAATAGCATCCGTAATGCTTTTTAAAGGAACGTTAGGTATTGTTGTTCTTTCGAATCCGGGTAAAAATATCCAATGTCGCAACAGGTAAGTTATTATTATTATTATTATTAGTAGTAAGTTATTTATAACGGTTACTACATTATAACTGTTCTAAATATCCAAATTTCTCGTCTGTTCTTACAACCGATATTACTATCGCTATGGCAAGACTGGATCGGGCAAGTTTAATTTAATTAAAAATGGGGGATTTTATATCCTTTATTTATTGCTGCCATTAACTACTTTTAAAGGATTTTTTTCTTGGCATTTCTTTACAAACTATTAAATCGAAATATTTTACCTAAGTTTTAGGCTTCTGTATAAATATGTATAACAATTTATAAAAAAAATACCGACCGACCGATGGACCGATGACAATACACTAATATAAAAAAAATGAAAAAAATTATAGTTTTAAAAAACTAAAAAACACGCTTTCTATAGAAAACCAAACTAAAAAATAGAAAATAAATTTGAAAAAAAGCGTTGGGTGCCTGTTGTCAATAGTAAAAAGCACCCCACGCTTTTTTCAAATTTATTTAAAAAATATAAAATAAATTTGAAAAAAAGCGTTGGGTGCCTGTTGTCAATAGTAAAAGCACCCCACGCTTTTTTCAAATTTATTTAAAAAATATAAAATAAATTTGAAAAAAAGCGTTGGGTGCCTGTTGTCAATAGTAAAAGCACCCAACGCTTTTTTCAAATTTATTTTCTAATTTTTGTTTGGTTTTCTATAGAAAGCGTGTTTTTTAGTTTTTTAAAACTATATTTTTTTTTCATTTTTTTTAATATTAGTGTAATGTCATCGGTCCTCGATATATCTACAAAGTTTAAACGAATTCTGACCGTTTAAAGTCAGTCAAAATTACGCCCAAAGGAGTCGGCTACAAACATACAAGTCAAACTAATATAAAGCGTGTAAAAAGAAAACAATAAGTACGTTTTGTTTTCTTTAAATGACTTACATAAAGCGTAAGGCAACCAAAATATTTCCTATTCAACTGAGGCTGGGCAATGGAATGTCGGATCTTCACCATCTGTGCATTCCATTACTTTTTTTTACGTTATACACGATCTCATTTTTGCTACCTGCTGTTTTTGTGGCGCACATCGCACTTTGTAACGTTTACTTGTGATTTATATTTTAATGAAACATTCTGATGTACACGGGCACGTGGACATTTTTACGTTATTTTTGATTCGTGATTGACTGTCTTGCTTATCAAAAGCGCCGGCTATATAAATTAACTCTCGAATTTTGTTTTTGCAACTCTTATATGTTACCTAGATCTCTACACTAAAAAGAAAGGTTATGAGAAGAAAATATTGAAACTGTTATTTGATAATGATTTCGTTTCTTTGACTAACTGACGTTTTAATGGGGCATGTCCAACGTTAAATCACTTCTAATACGAGCATTTAACTTAGATCATTAAACAAAAAATACCTACCTACTTGTAAAGTAAGGCCGCATTACTCGTAGTCTTAAAAATGCAAATTCTGTCAATGTTGTTTAAAATTAAGCGGGTAATTTCCTTAAGTGGACATACCCATACCCATCACACGACATTCCGAAGGAATGTCCTTCTGCGGACGCACAATTTTGTAATGACCTAGTTGTCTTGCTTTTGTAAACGATTACCGAATTGTTTTTTTAAAAGGAGGAATAGAATAGACATTCTTTCTGAAAAAAAAAACTACTTATTACAGTTTATGTTTGTCAGTAAACCTTTTCAACCCCTCGCTCTGACAACTTCAAGTACTTACTTTATTACAAAGTAATAATAAACCACTTCGGTAAATTTAAAAAAATTGTAATTATACAAAGTTTCAATGGACGTTCGTTCTTTACTTGAACTAACAAAATATCGACGTTTATTATCTTCCTCCAGGTATTTATCAGCATAGGTATTGTGTTTTTGCTATCATGATTTTATGAGAAAATTATGTGGATGTTTAGATTGCAACACACCATTAACCCTAATTCACGTACCTTCTTAGATGTTAACAAACAATATGTGGGTAAGTGCGTCCGTAAAATCCAATAAAGTATACACTTAGGTATAGTTATAACTTGAGCAACGATTTGATCTCAAACAAGATAGAACCCCTTAACATAGGTACCTATATAACTGAACAGTGTTTAGTAATAAATAGTTATTTGTTTAGTAAACACATACATATCTATTATAGATAAATTACACACAGACACAGAATAAATGACCATGCTTGTCGCACAATAATTGGTTCTGGGTGGGAATCGAACCCACGAACTCTGGATTTGTTGTCTGGAACACTAAACTACAGGCCCTCAAAAGTATATAAATCCAACGTTCTTGAATCAGTTGATAACCTCGTAGACACAAGAAGGTGATCTGTACCGTGAACTCTGGTAGTCTAGTCGAACTATGCATGAACTAACCAACGCACTGTCGACTCCTGTGACATTATAAGTAGCTGCGTATTATAAAACACTTATTGGAATGTAGAACCACAAGATCGAGAGAAAAACTAGACGCGAATAAGTTTCATCCCATCCGGTACCTCTGCACGGCTCTTCAGCTCTTGATAGCCATAAGAACATGTTTTTTGTTTTAGTAAATGTGCGATAGTTTGTGATGGCGGTCAGGCACAGCGGGGCGGGGAAGACCGGTCGGCGCAGGCGAGTGCGGGCGGCGGATGGGGCGCGGGCACGGAGGGCGAGAGGTGGGGCGCTACGTAAGCGCGGTAGCAGCGGACGGCGACGCGAGGAATGCGGACGACCTTCAGATGCCGAGCGCCCCTCCCCCTACGCCAGCCGCATCTTGCGTCCTCGCATACCTAAGGCCGTCGCTGCCTCCACTTTTCAACATCTCGCGCCACCAATTTTGACACTCACAAATTTGTAAGGCAGATAATGGAAGAACTTTGAACAGGGTCATGTTCTATAGTAGTTCCGACGGCGGACAGTACCTACTTATAATTTGGGATTTTGGGAAAAATAGCTGTATGTTTTTTTATATATAAATTTATGTTAATGCATTACATTTACATCAAACATAACATATAGGTATGTTAATAATGTTTGTATTAATATACCTATCTACTCATATTTAGATTTACAAACAGCACTACAATTTGTGAAGCTTCCTGTTATAAACTTTGCAGTACGATACAACTGCTGAATAACTTTGAGTAAGAATTAGGTCTTGCTTTTACTACTCGATCTTTTTTGAACAGGTAAGTACGTAACACGTAGAAAGAAAGGAGCAAACTAGGTACACATTACATTGCAGTGTCATAGAATTGAAAAAACTTTGATATAATAGACGGCTAAGCGTTTGTTGAATGAATGAAAATTTGCAAAAATGGCCTTACCGATAATCCGTATAAGTATAGATATACCATTAAGCGGATTGGAAGCTAGATTGGACAACAAAATTCAATGCTAAAAGTTGAATGGTGTTGTATGTTTCTGAAAATATTTTTAAATATCAAGATGGAAGCTAGGTCCACTGCGCACTTTAGGCTCAGAACTAGCCAGTTTATGCGTGGTTTGTCACGACGACGGGACAATTATACATAGGGCCGTCGTGAGCTTGCCACTTGTCGCACCTTAGTTTGATACTCAGGCGTTTATACGCTTCCCATAATTTACGTAATAGGCAATTAAATAAATAATTAAAAAAAACTTAACGAAGACGAGGGCCAAAGCATCGTATTCGGCTGCTTTTAAATAACGATGCGGACAACATAGGTAGGTACTTAATAGTTTCTTTTAAATTTAATTACACTCTTCTAAATCAGTACCAAGCCCTAGTTTAAGTGAAATGTAAGTTGTCCTTGCAATAGACAACCCTAATGTTAACGATAAGAAAACAAAAGTATTAATTAGAGGCATTATAAGAGTCAAATCAAGATGTATTGTTTTCTTTTAATATATAATTTAGTTTACCACATAGGCCAGCATCTTACCTAGGGGCGGGGCAAAATTAAGAAAATTAGATAAATGATAGGAATTCAATATAGGTACTATTTCCTTCTAACCTTGTTTCAATAATTACCTGCTAGGATTTTGGCAAAACCTGTTTAAAAGTAAGTTTATAGATTTATTTTGTGCTTCCAGAACCCTTCTTCCTGTGCACACTCATCAATCATCATGCAGTGGTCGACTAGTCGGTTTTCTGTCATTGACGATCATACACAAGTTTTTACTGTGCGTAAAGTACTAAAAGACTTTCATTTTTGTTCTAACTTAATTTTTAATTTTATGTTTTGATAATTTGACCTAACTGCCCTTATCAAGGGTCCCTTCAAAATTCCTATATGCAATCAAATGAGATCCGCACTGAGGATTGCTCAATTCTGCTATTTTATGTTTACGCAAATCTACTGTCATACCACTGACACGATATTGAGATGCCATCGAGTGGCCATTGGCATCGGTATAAAGATCGGTAGTCTACACTTACTCAGTGTATTTACGAGTACAGTGGCGATGGAATGGCAACAGGCATGACTAATGGTATGAAGGACTATATAACAATTTAAATAATTTATCTCATTATACTTCTTACTTCGAGGACGAGGTGAACAGAAGAATTCGGTTGGGTTGGGCAGCGTTTGGGAAGCTACGTCGAGTCTTCTCATCGTCGATCCCACAGTGCCTTAAGACGAAAGTCTTTAATGAGTGCGTCCTACCCGTCATGACATACGGAGCTGAAACGTGGACACTTACGGTACGGCTGGTCCACAAGTTCAAAGTCGCTCAACGTGCTATAGAAAGGGCTATGCTCTTTCTCTAAGGGATCGCATCAGAAATGAGGTGATCCGGCAGAGAACTAAGGTCACCGACATAGCGTACCGGATCAGCAAGCTGAAGTGGCAGTGGGCTGGCCATATTAGCCGCAGAACCGATAACCGTTGGGGAAAACGAGTTCTTGAGTGGAGACCACGTCTCGGCAAACGTAGTCTAGGACGCCCACAGGCCAGGTGGAGTGACGATTTGCGCAAGATGGCTGGCAGGAGCTGGATGCGAGAAGCCCAAAATCGATCTAAGTGGCGTGCAATGGGAGAGGCCTATGTCCAGCAGTGGACTGTGATAGGCTGATGATGATCTCATTATACACCTGTCACACACAAATCTCTGCATCACCCCAAGGTTGACTGGAATTGCCTATGTCATTAAGTCCACCTTATGCAATGTATTTGCAGGAAGTATAAATAAAAAAATAACATTCGAATACTGTCAGACCGCATGGCTATCCTAAGAGCACTGGAGGGCAACACAATAAACTCTGGTATTGTCTTCGAATATCATCAAGCATTTCAGCAGCTCGCCACAACAAATAGGGTACTCCTCCAATTGATTAAAGGGCCTATGCCCTTTTGCGTCATTGCTGTGTAAATTACTATTAATTTGCTGACTAGGAGGGCCTTGGCCACTTTGGCAGCCGGCCCAATCATACTTCTGCCACTACCTTTTAACCCACCTTGCTCCTGGGCTAGGCAACTTACTCTTGAACCACACAACCGGAGATTTAAAAACTCACCCGGCTGCACCGCGACTTTCTTGCAGATTGATCTGTCTTAGCAGACTAATCATCCGAATAGTTGTAAGAACTATAACGGGACACCTAGCCCTGAATCGACAACTATTCACATTTAATGCGCCGAACACTCTCTTTGCAGAAGATATCTGAAGGCAGTAGAAACAGCCACCCACGTAATCCTGGTGTGCGACGGAGTGGCCCCTCAACGGGTTAGTATCATATCTGATACAGAATCGCAGAAGAGCTTGGTTGGCTCACCTAACCAACCTTTACTCGAGGCATAACAGACCATTCTTGAGTCTAAATGCGGAAACTAGGGCCCACGACCAATACCAATACCCCTTCGGGCCGTCACGGGTTTACGAAGGAGTGTGGTGCGTTGTGGGTGTCGAACCGACTAAAATCACAGTGTGCCACTCTGCGCCTGAAGTAGGAGGGACTCGAGAGAAGCTGTTATTAAAACCTTCGGACCTCTAGGAGAACTTACTGCCTAATTCGGTGTGTACTCGTATAGTAAAAATGCAGGGGGTCAATCGAATGTTACGTCACCAAATATTTCCTTCGCTCAATTTTAGCTCTATGTTCTTCTACACAGAACACCAAAACTGTTTTCTTCGTAATATGGTTCTGCCAAAACTAAATTTTGGTATTGCATTGGAAACTGTACTTACATAATGAAATCTTTCAATTTTTTTTTCACGGATGCAAGTCAGGGTGTAGGGTGGGGCAAGCGCCCTAAATTGTCCCACTGTAGTTACGCCCATGGCTATTAAAAGATTTTGCCCACAATTAAGTAAGCATAGCTGAAAGCACAGAATAAGTATTAGTACTAGTAAATACTAACTTAATCTGGGCTTTCGTGCAAATCTGACAGCTCCCTATTCACACCCGCGTGTATGTCGGTTATCGCGGTAAAAAGTTAGCCTATGTTAGTCGCTGATAATGTAAGCTTTCCATTGGTGAAAGAATTTTTAAAATCGGTGTAATGGTTTTGGCATGAAAGCATAACAAACAAACAAACAAACTCACTTTCACATTTATAATATAAGTAGGGATGAATATCGTTTAAGGGTGTGCAATCGTTTTAAACAGAATACAGTTCGTGGCCTTATAGCTACGTATTACCAGTTCTGTGGTAAAACAATTACCCTTAAGGGTAGAAAAAACTAATACTTATACCTAATAAAGAGTGTAACTTAATGGGCTGTATGTTTAACTTGTTCGACTTATTGAATTTTGTGTGAACCAAGCACTCGAAAGGGACGAGACGGTACAGTACTTGTAGTCGTCCATGAAATAATAGTAGGTATTCAAGTCAAAGATCAAAAATATTTGATGATAGGTTAATTATACCCAAGAGCATAATAATATACATGTGGCAGCAGGCCAAATCAATTTACAATGCTTCATATTTGTTATTATTTACATCTTTCTCTTTGTAATTTTGAAATGAGAATGATTTTGAATATGTTTTTCTCCTAACCCGTTATATTTTTCTCTTAACCCGTAGTTCAAACCACCCGTAGTTAACGCGCACGCCGCCTCCATCGACACGGTGCGGTAATCGCGTATGGCTCTAACCGCCAATATCCTCTGAGAGCGCCAGAGGCGTGCCCTATTCTGGGCGATCAGAGACGACGCCCACACCGGTAGGTACTCCGTACAGCGCTATTGACCGGACAACCCCCGTGTACAGCCGTCTCTTTGCGACGCTGGCTCCACCCAAATTGGGTAAAAGTCACCCTAGGGCTGATGAAGCGCCGACTAGCTTTGGAGCAAGCTGTCGGAAGTGCTCGTAGAAAAGCCACCTCCCGTCGAGGATCAGACCCAGATTTTTCATCTTGGCCTGAACCGGTACACGGATCGAGTTGACCACGATTGAGGCGCCAGGGGGTGGACCACGACGGGGCCCATCGAATAATAGGGCCTCCGTCTAATCCAGGGCCACCCGTAAGCCCAGCGCCTCAATGCGCCCCACCACCAGAGAGGCTCCTCTAATGGCCAAGCGCGCCGCCTTTTGAAAGTTCGTCCCCCGGGCTTTGACCAAAGTATCATCGGTGTAACAAATTACACCCAGCCCAGGGGGAAAATCGACTCTAAGGTCCAGACGTACCCTATGTTCCGCAGGAGGGGTCTAAGAAAAGACCCCTGTGGAACAACGCACGACATGGTATTAAGTCTTAAGATATTATCTTCTTAATTATACATGGTATTAAATTGGCGTAGGTATTAAATTGGCAGTGAATGTCGTCAGAGAATCTCTTGGGTCTATTTTTTCGACGGGTCTTAAATAACTGAGACTCGACCGTATGGACGAATCCACTTATCGTTCACTGAGTTCGTTGGTATCATCGCAG